GGGTAAACAAATATGTGCCTCTTATAAATAGAGTGGCCCAGAATCACTAATATTTCATTGAGGCTCACTAGGAGGGGAAAGAAAACCTGGTAGGTGTGTCTCAGGCTGCGTTTAAAGTAACGCCCATTGTGGCCCCACTGGGTGAAGGAATAGCTTCTGGATTTAACCTCATTCTCACAGTATTTTATCAGCAAAAGCTTATTTTTCGTAAAGTTATAATGATTGTCCCTTTCAGTTAATTCTTTGTTTATGGAGAATACAAGTCTTCTTTTCATATCATAAGTCCGTAAGGTTTTAGCTCAGGCTGCACTTAAAGTAGCACCATCTTTGGTCGATTGGGTAAAGGAATGGCTTCTGCATGTTAACCTGAGTCTCACAGTATTCTATCACCTCATATGGATTGTCCCTTCTAATTAATTCTGTGTTTTTGAAGATACAAGTCTGGTTTCCATATCTTTTAGTGACTCCATTTTACTACTATTGGTTGGGACTATCACTGCAGGTGGAGGACATGCTGAAAAGAAGTTTTGCTGAGTTCCATGCTCAGAAGAAACTACCAGAACAGCAGCAACTTCTGATGCGAAAGCTTGCTCAGCCTACAAAAACTATTGAGTATGTTTATGGCAGAGTCATTGTTACTTATTTGTATAATCTTTACATGGGCATGTACAGGTTTTGTATGTGACGTCATATGCTACGCCTTACATGATATTTATGCTTGTTTTACTCAATTCAGTGGTAGCATACTAAATGTGGGTGCAGTTCATTCCCATGCATGTAAGCTTTAAAAGATTAAAAGACTGCTAGACAAGTGATATGTAAAAATGGTTATGTATAAATCTTGGTGATTTCAGCTTAGGCTTATATGTCATTATCTCATAATGACCACATTTTCTGCTATTAGTAAGCATATTAATCTAATTTGTGGACTTGTAATGGCATATCATTTAACAATATGAAAAAATGATTCTTTTTTAAAACAATGGTCAATGGGTTGTCCTTATTAATCAGTCTAGTAAATGTGTAAGGTGGGCATCTCTATGATACTAATTGTCAAAGCTTCATCTATGCAATATGAGCAACATAGATGCTGCAGTTCATTTCTTCTTGTTTTTTTTTTTTTTGCCTTTCATCACGTACAAACCTTTATGTGAGTGTCACTTGGTTATTTTGCATGTAGATGTATAAAATGTGAATCAGCTATTGAGGAGTATTATGACATGTACTCAGAAGCTGCGAAGTATAGCAAGGAAATATCGGAGGCCGTTATGCAGTCTTCTATTGCCAAACAATTTCTTACAACTGGGAGAGTGGTAGTCATGGGATCACACTCAGTGAGTTCCTTACATATCTATTCCTTACATAGTTACACATCTATTACGGTCATAACCTAAACCTCTTTTTTTTTTCTTTTTTTTTCTTTCATAAATTCTGCTTGTCCTCCCTCAGGATCAAATTGTAGTATTACTCTTCTGAGTAGTGCATGCAATATGTTACTAGATATGATTCTTTTCATGCATGACTTTTGGTGATTCTTAAAGTGATTTGTGGTTACTGATATTATGCTGACATCTGATGTATATCTATCAAAAAATAATTTAAAAGAAGAAAGAGTGCTGTCTTCTGGTGGTGAGTTGGTTGGAAATGTGTTTTAGAAGAATGAAATATTTGTAATTAGAATAAGATTTGGACTTAATTATTTTCTATCTCTGAGTATAATTTAGCTGTGACTTAAATAAACAACCCAATTTAACTCCCTTAAACACCCCAAAGCTGGAGTCTTCACTGGACCACTCTTTTGCAAAAGTTGGGAGACATGATCCTACATCCTGGAGGGAAGATCAACATAGATTCTAGGGAGTTTGAGTTACCATACCTTAAACCTAAAAAAAAAATTGGTAATCGAGTTTCAGAACTTATTATTTTTACTCTGGAAATGATTGATAATAGAAAATGGCATGTATTAAACCTCGAAGGTCAATTGATAATCTGAGATATTGCTCTGTGATATCTCACTCTCCCTTCCTTCGCCTTTGAAACTGAAGTCAAAGGGGATCATGTTTGTTCATATCATTTTCCCAGATCATATGGTTGATTGCATCTATTCTGCTGTTTCTCTTTCTCATATTAAACTGCATTAGTAAACTCTTCTGATTTGCCATTGATATTTCTTTATTTCTATCTGGTTCTTTGTTAGATAGTGATTGGTATGCTAATACTGTATCATGCTTTACCAACAGGCACAGGACCACTTGCTTGGAGTCGTCGTGAAAGCACCTAGTGCTAATAATAAACAGTACATCGTTTTGGTGCTGAAACCTGAATTATTGCCCCAGACTCCACTGGGTAGTGGTAACTTGCAAGACAGTAAAAACATAAATTTTCCACAAGGTTATTTCGTGGTACCAAAATCTAAACGTGCTCTTGATGAAGAGTATCGTTCTGGTGTCACACCTCGGAAAGCATCGGGTGTCATCAAGATAAAATTACCACACCAGGGTTCTGCTGCTGGGGTGAGCTTTGAGGTTAAAGAAGTTGACAGCAAAGATTTTCTATGCATATGCAATTGCAAGATAAAAATTGACCAAGTTGGGCTTCTTGAAGACAATAGCAATGCTGCTTACTCCAAGACAGTTCAACAGCTGTTGGACACAAAATCCGATGGAAAGACGTACCCTTCAGCCTTGGATCCATATAAAGGTACATATTTGTCATTTTTTTTTTTTTTTTGAACAATCAATATTATCTACACTAAGGGGAGGGGGTGGGCTTATCCTCACACGTATTTGTCGATTTTAAATAAGAAATAAGATCAAGTAAATGCAGTTGTATCATTACAAAGTTGCATTCATCCCAGATAAATATACACTTTAATGTAACTATAGAATTGTGATGCATGCCTTTTTGGTTTTATGTCATTGGAAATCTGAATTCCCGACTATGCACTCCTTGGTTTGATATTCATTTGTCCCCTTTGCTTTCTCTTTTCTGTTCAATTGTTTCTGTTTGGTTCAAAATTCAATTTGAGAAAGCCTACTAGCCTGCTTATATAATATTTGGCATGTGCTCTTAAAACGTGCCTAACACTTGGGATAAATTGAGAATTTTTAGAGCTTAACTCGCCCTTAAAGCTGACTTGCATGGTGGTGACTCTGGTTCAGATCTGAATTTGAGAGATGTAAATCTTGTCGGAACATACCATAAGTGGATTAACTTATTGCAAAAGATGGCAATGAACAAGTGCCATGGGTGTATAAAGTTGGACGAGCACATTAAGTTGGCAAGAGAGATAAAGAGACACAGTGAGGAAGTCGATGCTCTTAAGTTTCAAATGTCAGATGAAGCACTTCAACAAATGCCAGACTTTCAAGGCCGGGTACTTTTCTACGATCCACATATTTTTTTCTTAGTTGCTGTGGCTTGTGCTAATTGTCTTAACACTTGTGATTCATCTTCGTAGTTTAATTTTGTATTTTCACTGTTTTCAGATAGATGTTCTGAAGGAAATTGGATGTATAGATGCTGATCTTGTGGTTCAAATAAAAGGCCGTGTAGCATGCGAAATGAATTCTGGGGAGGAGTTGATATCCACAGAGTGTTTGTTTGAAAACCAACTGGATGACCTGGAACCAGAAGAAGCGGTGGCGTTGATGTCTGCCTTTGTGTTTCAGCAGAGGAATACTTCAGAACCTTCTCTTACTCCAAAACTGTCTCAGGCCAAACAGAGGTCATTCACTCCCATCATCTGCATGCAAATTTTCTTCTGTGCCAAGTTCCATGCTTAAATATCGTGTTTAATACGTAATATATGCATAGCTTTTGGTAGTATACTTTATGCTTACATTTAGAGGCTGCGATCGACCACCAGATCTTGCCGGATTTGTTACATAGAATTCTTACTTCTCGGTGTCTTTAAGCAGAGACTTGTTATCAGATATGAGATGCTTATGAAGTTCTGGCTTGTGTACTGATAATCAAAACTTCGATTACATCATGCTGCATATACCTTAATTTCCATCGAAATTGTGTTCTGTATTATTCCCGTTCCTGAGTAAACTCATTTTATATAATTATTCATTTCAGGTTGTACGATACAGCAATAAGACTTGGCCAGCTTCAAGCCCACTTCAATGTTCAAATAAATCCAGAGGAGTATGCTCGAGAGAATCTCAAGTTTGGTCTTGTTGAAGTCGTTTATGAGTGGGCAAAGGTATTTATCTGAGAGAATTTCATCAACTCCTCGTATGATTTTTAGAGTGGTTGGTCTTACATGCCCTTGTTATCGCAGGGCACTCCGTTTGCAGACATTTGCGAACTTACAGATGTTCCCGAAGGCATGATAGTTCGAACCATTGTCAGACTTGATGAGACGTGCCGTGAGTTCAAAAATGCTGCATCTATTATGGGCAATTCTGCTCTGTACAAGAAAATGGAAACAGCATCAAATGCGATAAAGCGTGACATTGTATTTGCCGCTAGCTTATATGTCACCGGAGTCTAACTGCGTCGCAACCTGAAGGTATACCACTCCAGTTCATCCCTGTAAGTACTGAGTGGGAGGATCTGGAGAAGCATACCGCATTCATACCCGTTAGCTGTATATTACCATACGCTTAATTTCCGCAAAGTTCCTCAATCTTCGGTCATAGAATTTGTTTATTGTACCGTAATTGATTCGTTCTGCTAACAATTTTAGATGTAGAACTACAGCAGGATTTCAATGTGCAATTTTAGTTCTGAAACAAAAAGCTAACAAGTGACCTTTTCTTTTTTCGCTCGAGCTAAATTTTTCACCGAAGAAGAGAAGTCAATAGCATCGAAAGCTGTAATCTTCAGATTAGTTTTGGTCATTTATCGTTCTCACCATTCATGTAAATCGAACCTGAGACTTCCATCCTCTCCAAGACAAATACAACCGAAGGCTAGTTGGCAGCTAACATGTAATTTATGCAGCAGATATAGTTTGCTCAAGTGGAATAATAAAGATTGAACTTCCTTCCTAGAAGCAACATATTTATTTTTATTTTTTAAAATTTATTATAAATAAGGGCATGAGAGAGTTCGAAGTTATTACATTAATTTAGAGAGGAGGAATTTCGAACCCAAAACTCATACATTGAAATTCTCAAATTGCAGAGAAACAATGATATGCAGACAAAAATCTGCAATGTAATTACTTCTCGTTTAATCCTAACTTTCACTCCTCCTTGGCTTCCCTGAATCAAAACCCACCTGGAACAAAAGCAAATCAAATCAAATAACCAAATTTTAAAAACATTAGCAAATCCCTGAATCAAAAGACAGTAGCATTTAATGCCATTTTTGAAGCGCCAGTAACAGTTCCCTAGTAAAAAACGAGCGGTGGTTAAGTTTAACCTACAGCATTGCCAGCAGAAGCGTCTGGGATCCAGTCATTAGTTGCTGGGTTGCACTGGCAAGAAGCGTGGACGTCGGTGTCGGAATCCGGTGCTAAATTGTAACTGTTGTTACCTTTGTTTTGGACTTTGATGAACCCAGTTCCTGTGGTGTGGTGTTGCTTGTCAATGTCGTTCAGGTCCTTGTAGTAGTCTGTCTCCACAAACTCCTCACCAACCTCACTCCCATTCACCACTATTTTCTGCTCAAAAAAATAAACAAATAATACGAGGAAATGAAACAAGCAAGCGTTTGTAGTCCAACGGTTAGGATAATTGCCTTCCAAGCAATAGACCCGGGTTCGACTCCCGGCAAACGCATTTTATTTTTATTTTTAAGAGAACTTTAGTGAAAATCTTTATTTTAACACAAAAAAAAAAAACCCACACTTTTATACTACTCAAAATTTTCAAATCATTTTCATTATTTCTCCTTATTTTTAAACTGCAAAAGTCAAGTGCAAAAACTACATGGATCAAAACCATCATAGAACTAACCTGCGAATCGTTTTCGAGACGATGGAACTCAACGAGTTCAGGAATTTGGTCTTCATTTTTCAAATCATCCACATACTTTGACGAATACTCACTGCGTTGAGGTTTGGAGTGACGCTTGGGAGTCACTCCGTCGAAGTACTCTCTCGTCTTCGACTCGATCTCTGCCTCTTCCTCTCTCGACAAATGAGCATCACTCCTGTTTGGCCTCCCACAGCACTCCATTTTCTTCTTCTTCCTCTTCTCTAATCTCTTCTGTATTTTCCTACAAACTCTCTCTGTTAATTGGGTTTTATACAAGAGAGAGAGAGAGAGAGAGAGAGACTTTTGCTTACCTAACCATATGTTGACTTTATGAAATTGTGGTGGGAAGGTTTGGGATCCATAAGTATTCAACTTTTTTGAGAGAAAATATCTCTGTGATCTTATCCATTTGTCCTTTGCTTACCTGGCATCGTTTGCTGGCAATTTCAAGTTGGGCTGAATAACCAAAATAGTATTTGAGATTTGCATAAAAAATCACTTTAGTTCATAAGATTGAAAATCAACCAAAATGATCCCTGAGATTGTCCATCATCCATCATCCATCATTTTAGTCATTCCGTTAAAAACTTTTTGGGCAATTTTCAAAGCTTCTTAACTCAATCGTTTCTTAACCTAATTGTCCAAATAGTTTTTAACGGAATGACCAAAATGATGGATGGTGGACAATCTCAGGGACAATTTGTAACATCCCACATTGCCCAGAGGAGTGGATCATGTAAGCCTTATATGTATATTATCATCTCTACCTAGCACGAGGTTTTTTAGGAGCTCACTGGCTTCGAGTTCCATTGGAACTCTGAAGTTAAGCGAGTTCGCGCAAGAGCAATCCCAGGATGGGTGACCCACTGGGAAGTTTTCATGTGAGTTCTCATAAACAAAACCATGAGGGCATGGTAGGGGCCCAAAGCGGACAATATCGTGCTCCAGTGGAGTCGAGCTCGGGATGTGTTGGGGGCTCGGGCCGGGATGTGACACCATTTCTATTGATTTTCAATCTTAGGGATCAAAGTGATGTGTTATGCAAATGTTAGAGTTCTTTTTGATTATTTAGCCTTTCAAGTTGGGTTCTTTTTTTTTCCTAGATTTTTATAAAAATTTTATTATTGTCAAGGAGATGTAAGAGGATTTAAAACTAGTATAATACTTTAGAGTAGGAGTTTCGAACTCGGAATGCATGAGTATAAACCAACGTTCTATCAACTAAGATATTGGACTATCTCTTCTAGATTTTGATTATTTGATGTTCTATTGTCTTTAATTTTATTTACATAAACATTTGGGGTGGGCTAGAGAGCTTATACGCTCACAATTTTTATGCAAATTTGAACAAGTTTTATGGTGCAATGGTAATGCGAATCATTTAGATTGTCTTTATATTGCCAAGGTGAAAGCAAGAATCCTTACAACTCAACGACATTTGTTACATATGTACTAAAATTAGTGAGAAATGAGAGATTTGAACTCCTACTGTGAATCTGAGAGTAAACTACTTTATAATTGAAACTATAAGCCCACATAAAGTTAGTTGGGAAAGAGAAAAAAGAAGAAATGTGTTTGGTTTCTACCTAACTTATAATGTGTTTCACGTTGTTCAGTTTGGGCAAGTGGCAAAATCAGAAATTGTCGGGGGAGGGGCGAACTATAAAAGGGTAAAAGGTCCCAAAAAAATATGGACATCCAAGTTTGCAAGAAGATTATGTGAACTACCTAGAATATTCGAAGGAGGATTTGGATAACCGAAATATTTGAAAGAGGATTTGAACTACCCCAAATATTTGAAGAAGGATTTGAACTAACATCATTATTTAAATGAGTATTTAAGCATTGTTTCTTGTTGTATCATTCCGTTACATAATTGTATAATGAGCAAAGTTCTAAAAGACGCTAAATGCTAGTTGGGCGGCAACATGGCCTAACGCTCAGGCGAGAATCTAGACGGATTTAAATAAATTTATTACATATTATATAAATAAGTGCCCATTTATTATATAATATAGCATATAACATCTAAAAATATTAATAAATTTTATGTATTACTTTGTTGAATTTGGTTGTAAAAGAAACAAATTCAAATAATTATGAGTTTGTAACACTTTACGGAATATTTTTTGAAGCTCGTAAGGGTTTATAGTGAATTTTAAGAGAAATAACGGTGTCAAACACGTGGCTTAAAAAACATTGGAGAACAATTAAAAAACAAAACGAATCCAATATAAATCAGCACATCTAACTAGCAAGCTAGGTGACGCAAATTGATTGGACAATAGTTTAAAAACCAAAACAAATTGGGTGAATTTTGAAAAGGCATGTGGGGTGAGATGGGGGAGAGAGAAAGTCTTTCTTCTTGTTCGTTAGAACCCAAAACAGAAGCTCTATTTCCAGAAGCTGCAAAATGTAGCTCTCTATTCCTCCTTTCTTTGGCATTGAGTATTTTCAAACAAAAAAAAGGAAAGTGCGGCAACCTACGATGCGCAGTAGCAGGGACTTCTCACGGAGTTACAAGTTTTCCGACGAGATCAAAGGGGCTGATCAATGCTCCTTGACATGCTTTTTAACAAGGGAAGGTACGGCCGCACCTCCTTGCACCTCTATAGCTTCGCCGTAGGCTTGGGCATACTCATCTTGCAAGAAATAAATATGGTGATGATTTTAGTATGGGTTAAAAGCCCAAAAAAATGTTAAATGGGCTCAGGCCCACAACTTGGTGCAAATCGAATCAAACTGGAACCAGACCAATCTAGTCTGGGTCCAGTTTGGTTCGATTTTCATGACATTTTTTGGATTTGTTGCATTAGTCGGCAACCGTCAAAAATCAATTTGGAGCATTCTTCTGTCTGTTTTGTTTGTACTTTAATTCTTATTTGATCTTTGCTTTTCGATTTGTTGAAATATTCTAGTACAGAACTGGATCCTCTCCTGAGCTCATGATGGGGATCCTCCTAGGCAGTCCATCTGAATCGTTGAAATTTGATCCAATGGCTTCAAACATGGGGCCCTTCTAAAAGTTATAATAATTGTAGCTGTTGGATCAAGTTTGAATGGTCAGGATGGTCTGCTCATGAGGATCCTCATTCTGAGCTCAGGAGAGGATCCAATTCCCTCTAGTACTTCCAACCCAAGAGGAAAAAAAAGGGTCTCATAACAAATATAATGCATGTGCGGGGCACTGTAGCAATGAGATTACAACTTATAAGTAAAATCCTTGTGAGGATCCTCTCCGGATCCTCTTTGTGAGAATGAGGATCCTGGGGATCCTCAAATCGTGTCCGTTTATAATACATCGTGCGGTCATAAATTATTTAAATATTTTTATTTAAAATTAAACATGAACAATACATGACGAAAACTGACCGCACGATATACGATGAATGGACATGATTTGAAGATTCCCGGAATACTCACAAAGAGGATCTAGAGAGGACCCTCATTCCTAAAATCGATCATACCATCAAGTCTCTAAAATCACATACCACTTTGCCGGGGTACATATTACAACTTATAACTCAAATCCACCAATAACTTCGTCAATTACGTCACTTGATTTGAGTGGTCTTATAGTCGTAATATGACTAAAACGATACGGTTTTAACTTTGATCAACCAATTACATAATTCTTATTTGGTAAAACATATCAAGGTATAAAATTTATAATTGTTATTATGAGTATCTCTCATTTAATAATAGGCTTGATCGAAAGATGTTCTGGCAACTATATAAGGATTGTTCCTGTTCTCACAATATATACGTTCCATTCTAAACAAACCCTTTTATTACTATAACACTTTCATCTATTGAGAGTAAAAAACTTTATTGCCATCCACAAGATCCATGTCATCCTCTTCGTACATATTTCATGCACAGTGATCTTTGAGAATCAAGTCAAAGTGCCTATGATCTATTATTGATGTTGGTTCCAACTTTTATACTATCACATGCATAACATGGTAGAAATGGGGTATACAACCCAAAGCTAACTTATAACACCAGAGGTAACAAAGCCAGTTCAAAATACTCCAACAGTATCGTCCATGAGCGATGGTCCAATCCAAACAGGAGGAGTTTTTTCTCCACTTTGACATCTTTTAAAGTTTACTGTCTACTTGATATGTTAAATTAAATTATTACATTAAACTATTAAAATAAATGTTTTTAAAACAAAAAACAAAATTAAGATTAATAAAATACATTTAATAATCAATTAAAAAAATTCAAGCTACTGTCAATTTTAACAACAAGAATAAAAGCTGCTAATTCATGTCATGCCACATTAAATTTGACTTTTCGATTGAAAATCATTGTTGCTGGACAAAATAAAATGAAATGAACATGGGCAAAAAGAAGAAATGTCCCCCAAAAAAAAATAAAAAATAAACCTATACGCTATAAACCCCTAGACCGACAACTAACATATGCTCATGGCTCCACATCATAATATTATATTCTCATGATTAAATTTTTTAATTTCTGAGTCGGAAGTCTATAAATACCAACGCACTTGCACTCGTTCATCAATATATCTCATCTATTTATCCATCTTCCAACTTAGAACTAAATACTTGAGCTGTCAGTTCTCTCTGGGATTGAAACCATCATCATCATGTTCCTTCATATGTTTACTTGTTGCACCAATGAAGCAAGGTAACCTACATACATACATACATACATACATACATACATACATACATATATATATATATATATATATATCGTATCAGACCCTTTAAGAGAAGAGATTCCTATTTTATTTAAAAAATGGGGTTAGTTATGAGATCCACTCCATATCGAACTTCAACGATCTGAATGTCTATTTTGTAAGTTTCAATTCATAGATCATCCTTGCAAAAATTCAATTAAATAAAAAAAATTTAAAGTTTTTCTTAGAACAAAGTGTTCGTCAAATTTTTTGAGCTTAATTAAATGCCTCAAATATTTTCGGTTTGGCTAATATTTTGCAATGATGGTTTATGAGGTACAACTAGAAAAATAAATGATTCAGATCGTTAAAGTTTGATGTGGTGTGAGCCTCACAACTACTCCTCATTTAAAATAAAAAAAAAATAGAAATCCCTCCCATGAAATTAAGGCCTCATATTTCATAAGTTACAATTTCTTGGTTACATTTTGAGCTGTTTTAGGGTGCACATTAGTCTCATTCAATAGAATTATCGTCAACCATCATGATTAGTCGACAGTGAACATCATCACCACATATGTATAATTTACCAGTTAACAAAATTATAAAATTAAACTCATTCAACGATTAATGTATTGGTAGTGGTTCTTAGCATGAAGCGAGTGTTTTGCCGAACATGATTGATATGACCGACATTTTTTTTCAGTGTCCGCACACGCTTATTGTTGCCTCTCTATTCAAGACGATAAAATTGTGTATGAAAACAAATTTCTTTGTGTATTGTTAGAAGAGTTTAATTTAAATTACTATTCTTGTTCGACAGCTATTCTTGATCTTAGCAGTGAGCAAATCTTTTGCTGAAGTCCATGATCTTGCATAAAATTTTGGAAACTCTTTTTTCGCATTCTACAAATTCTCATTTATTTTTTACCTTGTTTATCTTTCTTTTCATTTTCAAACTTTAATTTATATTTCCCATTTTTGGACTAACCATGACTCGATGTCAGTCATCTCTTTATAAAATTATGTTTTATTTTTAATTACGTCTTTTGAAACTCAATTTTGATCTCATTTTACCATCTATAACTTAAAAGGCATTACTTTACTTTCTGAAACTTAAAATTCGTTCTATTTTGACTTGTGGACTTTCTCTTCTTTCTGAAACTTATAGGTCACCTCCTAAAACATATGTGGGATCTAACACCCAATAAAACTATGCCACATCTGCAATAAAATTTGATTATAAATCTTCATTATGCATTAACATCCAATAATAAAAGAAATTGATTAGCCTGGCGTACCCAAATCAAACTCATATAAGAAATTAACAAATCTAAGAAAATACGAAGTGAGTTTTGAGTTTTATAGAAATGACTTTCAAGTTTCAAAGGATAAAATGAGATCAAAATCAAATTTTAAGGCTAAAATGAAACAAACTTTGAGTTTCAAAGTAAAACGAAAACTTTTGAATTACTAAGAGAAAATAGGGATTAAAATCGAGTTTGAAAAAATGTAGCTAAAAATATGCCTAAAATTAGACAGTGAATCTTTCCATTGTCAACTGTAACTCCAAATCCTGGACGTACACGTGTAGGATAAGCAGACATATCAGCCTTTACACTCTCTTTCTTCACATGCACATGCCCTCCCCGTAGGATCAGGATCCTCTCCTGATCTAAGAATGAGGATTCTTATGATCAAGGAGTGTAGACCGTTGGATGAAAATCCAACGACTACAAACAGGAGGATCTTTTAAAGTTATAATAATTATAACCGTTAGATTTTCATCCAACGGTTCACATTCCTTAATCATGAGGATCCTCATCCTTAGATCAGGAGAGGATCCTGATCCCTCCCCGTCCTCCACAGTCCACTCACTACTGTGCCCATAACTCCAGATAGCCTTCCACCTTTGAGGCCGTAACACCAACTAACCCCGTTAATTTTCCGCTCACTCAGAAAGAAGAAGGTCGCTGCCGTCAACGGCAGCCGGGTCAACCCGTTCACCGTTCCGTACCACGGTAATCCGTTGCTATTTGGGAAGCTTCAGCAAACACGATTGTCTCTTGAGCTCCGAGGTCAGTCTCACTCAGAATTTTCATTTATTTTATTTTAATAATTCATCAATTAATTTAATATGTTATCTTAAACGGTAAATTTTCTTATCCTGCGCACCCACCCCTCACTCAAAGATCAAAGCCACTGGTCTGCGAATCTGATCTACCTTGTTTTTCTCAGAGGCGGAGAAGTACTCGAGGCAAAGAAGAAAGGGGAGAAAATGGCGGGAAAGGTTTCGAATTTCTCGGATCTAATTCAACGAATGGCGGCTTCTTGCTTGCTCCACCCACTCGCCGCCGGGCGCCACGATTCCTGCGATTCCCCCGTGCATCGACACACCGGCGACGAGGACGACGAATTGTACGAGCACGAGACCGGCGATGAGCATGACGAGGACGATGGAGATGAGGAAGACGAAGACAATGAAGTGATCGACGGTGGTGGTTTAGGGTTTAAGGCTGGGGAGGATCGGGGGTCGACGAAGACGAATAAGGAGGTTGTGGAGATGGAGATGGCAATGCGGGAGGTTTTCGACGCCGTTGGGGCGATAAAGAAGGCGTACGTCAGCCTCCAGGAGGCCCACATCCCGTGGGACCCGGAGAAGCTCAGGGTGGCTGACGCTGCCGTGGTCGGTGAGCTGAGAAAAATCGGGGTGATGAGAGAGAGGTTTCGAAGAAGGCATTTTACCGGCGGGGGAGAGCGAGTGATGGCGGGGAGTACGTTGAGAGAGGTGGTGGCGCCGTACGAAGCGGCAGTGGACGAGCTGAAGAGAGAGGTGAAGTGCAGAGAGGTCGAGATCCAGAACCTCAAGGAGAAGCTAAACGGCGTCGCTAACGTGTCCCACTCGAAGAAGGGCAGGTCCGTGTCCAGAAGAAAAGTCGGTTCCATAGGTCTGACTGAAGGTAAACAATAAAGTCTCTCTCCCAACTTTGTCTTACACTACGTAATGACAATTCTACCCCTTAATGGCTTCTAATTACAGTTGCAGCGGCTCCAGCGCCGGAGCTGTTCGAGGCGACGATGAGCCAGGTGAGAGAGGCATCCAAGTCTTTCACGTCGCTCCTCCTCTCCCTAATGCGCGCAGCCCACTGGGACATCGCCGCCGCAGTCCGGTCAATTGAAGCCGCCACCGCGACCACCGTCGGGACCAACACGACGTCTTCGACCATCGGTACCCAGAACGGCGACGCCAAGTACGCGCTGCAGTCCTACATTTCGCGGAAGCTCTTCCAGGGATTCGATCACGAGACGTTCTACATGGACGGCAGCCTCTCGTCGCTGCTCAACCCGGACCAGCACCGCCGCGACTGTTTCGCCCGGTACCGCGACTTCAAGGCCATGGACCCCACCGAGCTGCTCGGGATTCTGCCCACGTGTCAGTTCGGGAAGTTCTGCTCCGCCAAGTACCTGGCCGTCGTCCATCCGAAGATGGAGGAGTCGTTGTTTGGGCACTTGGAGCAGCGACGACATGTCGTAGAAGGGGGGCACCCGAGGAGCGAGTTTTACGGGGAGTTTTTGGGGCTGGCGAAGGCGGTGTGGCTGCTGCACTTGCTGGCTTTTTCGCTTGACCCGCCGCCGAGTCAGTTCGAGGCGAGTCGAGGAGCGGAGTTTCAGCCGGGTTATATGGAGAGTGTTGTGAGGTTTGCGGGCGGGCGAGTTCCGATGGGTCAGATTGTCGGGTTTCCGGTTTTTCCCGGGTTTAAGCTTGGGAATGGGTCGGTTATTAAGGCCCGGGTTTATCTGGTAAATAGGAATTAGAGGGGTTTATGCGGTGGGTTTGCTAGTGAGTAGTCTGAATAATGTTACTAGACTTGTAGGCCTCCTATACTTTTGAGGATAATTTTTTAGAATATGGAACATTGGGCGCACCGCCAGTATTTCGGGCACACTAAAATTTCTTAGTTTTGAGAGTGTAAACGTTATTGCACTGTTTAATTTAAACAATAAATCTCTCATTAAATTAGAAATGGTTTAGCCCCCTTGATCATTGTTGTGACTATTTTATTGTTTATCGACAATTGGCAACAGTCAATATGTTACTCTATTTATCATGTCATATTTAGATACCTAAGCATCTTTTGATTTTGGCGAATTATTGTAAAGATGATTTCTCAATAGTAGCCTAAAATGGTCAGTTCAGATTACCAGAGATATTGTGAAGCTGACTCAAACGACTGCAATAATTAACATATAAACGTTTTAGGCAGTTCAATCAACAGCACCTCTACTTTTAGCGAGAAAAACTTGTGTGGGGCTTGGCTTGTCACTGGATTTCGTTGAGTGGCACTACAATCCACTCAAAACTCGTCATGTGGCAAGTCTTAAATATAATCTTTTATTATTCTTTTATATTTAAAAATTTTATAATTATTTTTTTAACTAATTAATATATTATATTATATATATTAATGTTATGTTTCCTTTTTTATTTCTTTCCCCCTGTTTTTTTTCTTCCCAAATCCCCCCCCCCCGGGACAACTTTGTTTTGCAGTAGGTTTTAGGTTTTAGTACTCTCTCCCCTTTCTTTCTTTCCCAGTTTCGTTTCTTTCTTTCTCTTTTAAAAAAAAAAAATTCTACACCCACTCCAATTTTATCATGGAAAGCAACTAAGAATATGTAAGTTTCTTTTGAACACATCATCGGTTGTGTACTTGGCAGTAGACATCTTCGATAACACAACTTTAGCTCTTCAACTTCAAGAATTCTTAGAAAAATGCGCAGATGCTGGAAACATAAAGCTCATGGATTGAAGATGGATGAATTGAAGAGACAATGTGGGATTTTTTTTTCTTTTTATTTATATAGTCTGGTTGCTTGACAATTAGTCAAAATAACTTTTACATTCACCTGGGATATCAAGTTTTTTGATAGCTAATGTTTTGATCAAAGTTTTATTTCAAATAGTATTATCTATAGTTCTTAATTATATTTGGTAGAGAAGTACTTTCTTGAAAATAGAAAGTTACTACGATCAAAACAGTGAAAGATAACAAATATGAAAAAATTGACTCGATAATTTGGAGTGTGCACAGCAACTATTGTATAAAGAAAGAAAAGAAACTTATGGTTGCTTTCTATGATAAACTTGGAGTGGGTGGGGGGAGTCCTAAGACCTACGGCAAAACAAAGTGTGGGGTGGGGGGATTTGGGAAGAAAATAAATAGGGGGAAAGAAATAAAAAAGGAAACATAACATTAATATATATAATATATTAATTAGTTAAAAAAATAATTATAAAAATTTTAAATATAAAAGAATGATAAAAGAATCTATTTAAGACTTGCCACGTGGCGAGTTTTAAGTGGATTGTAGTGCCATTTAGCGAAGTCCAGTGGCAAGCCAAGCCCCACTTAGCTGATGCCACAAGAAAAATAATTAAGAATAAGATATCCGAGATAAAGTGGAAGCAGCTACAATTAGAGAAAAGATGAGAGAAATGTTGAGAATGAGTCCCACATTAATGAGAGGAGGAATCTTGCATGGACGTATAAGTGGCTAGGTTACTCTCTATATTACCAATTGGTTTTATGGTGGAACATCAACTTTCTTTAAGAAATTCGGTTACGATGGTTTTGACATATGAACCGAAGATCTATAGATGCGATTATAAGACAAAGGCTCAAAGGGTGGAAAAAAACTTGAAAAGATATTTTAAGAAAAGACATGGAATACTTGGAGCTAATAGAAGACTTGACGCAAAACTGAGCGCAATAACGTTCTAAAATTCATATAGCCGACCTCACTTAGTAGGATAATGCTTTATTATTGTCGTTGTATATTAATTCAAATGGCAATGCAAATATAAATAACAATATTTATATAGTTGTCTAGTATAGTTGTAGGGAAGTAGCTTCCCAAAGAAGGGTACAAAGATATGATTCCCTTTCAAACTCTCTCCAACGATACAAAGATATAAGGATTTTATGCCTAAAATGGAAAAGCAGAAGAAATTTGGGGGAAAAAAATTGAATCTTTAAATGCCACTCCAAAGCAAAAGCTGCGTCTTCGTGCTTTGTGGTGACTGAAATCCGAAGAGCGTATTTATACCCGAAAAACATTTTTCGCCTGCCATGGAAAACATACAAAGCGAAAAGGAATCGTTACGATTTACAAGCAGGTTAATGGAGTTAAACATGAACTGCCTGTGCAATTGAAAATCCCACATTAATGCAAATCTTACTTGCTCTAGCATTAGAAACATAAGCACATTCCATGATCCTAGCCGAACGAAGTTTGGGAGGAACCCTTTATAGAAGGCCAAAAATCCCTGCAGTATGTCATGAGTTGCAAAACAATGGAGTCACAAAAACCCATGTAGATATTGGCCTTTTAGCATTCAAAAACTTCGAAGGCGAATGGCTTACAGAATCAGAGTGCACGCACAGATTAAACTGATTAAAAAGCATACCTCATACTTCAATGTTTTGACGAAGCAATCCAAGGTGTTTTTGTAAGTTGAATCTCCCATCATTCTGGATTTCACCTAGAACATAACAAGGAAGGCATCCAAGCCAACATTTCCCTTACTAACTCATCCACTCAAAAACTAAATAAAATTGTTTTGTACAATTAGAAAATGTCATCACAATCTTTCACTGGCACACCGTTGTTACAGCCTGAAACGAATAATATGCAATGCAGGTCGGTGCTACCATCACAAAACCAGCATTCAATGATGATTAAAATTGGTGAACAAATATAGCAAGCACTTATCATTTCTGTTTTACTTTCTTAGGTTGGAATATAGCGCACCGAGAAGGCATATGGTTATCATATGATCACTTTTCTTTAAATTTTGTTTAATGTTTACAGATCTGTTGTAGTTTCCATATGTTGCAAGCATGCAACCTAGAAAACCACGGAACTTAATGCCACAACTAAAAGGTTACAGAGTGCATACCATGTCAACAGGAGAGCCAATCGAAACTGCAAAGAAACCGGCACCCAGACCAGCTAGGATATGAGTTAAAATATTGTCCGTGGACCCTGGAATTTTCAAAATTGTCTGCATAAGTATGAAGAATCAGGAATCACTGGGATAATTATCCTAGTTATAGCAGATTATATTAACTTTCAAATTAGAAAGATAACTGCACTTCCGAGAAGGAATGTTATGAGATTACCTCCTTCACTTGATCATAACTGGCCAGTTCGGCAGCATTTACAATAGCATTCCGTGCTACATTTGGCACCAGCCCAGTCCATAGGGCCCCTAATCCTTCCTAAGTGTTAACAAATATTCAACAACTAAGCTGGTCTGCAAACAATATTTAGGAACGCAGAACAAAGAAAAACACTGCTCTACTTTGAAAAAAAGCTAACCTGTCTTACTATAGTGGAATAAGCATCTAAGGCTCCAGCATATCGCCTAGGAACTCCAGCTGGCAACTTTCCTTCAGATTGAAGTCGAACCTTCACAAGGTCAGTTGGATTAGCCACTATGATTGCCAGAGCACCTGTCAACATAGAAGTTAACAAAAGAGTATGCTGTTAAATTTACTTTTTTAGATCAAAGGGCAGGGAAGATAATGGCAATAGTTTCGGCGCCTTCAGATGATAAAATATGTTAGCGAACAGCACAAGTTGCATAAATCTAGTCTCGCAATATAGTTGCCAAGTACACTTACCAGTGAATAGAGCTGCAAGTATTTTGTGGAATAGAGGAATATCTCCAACAATAGCACTGCCAACAAGGAAAATTTTGACCTGTTCAACATTCAGTTTATAGATATGCAGAATGTGTCACAAAGAAAGCATTAAATAGGTAATTCATAATTTTATTTATGAAAGAAAACGTATTTAGAACTCACAGGATCATATAATCCAATTCTCAAGCCTCCGTAAATACATTGGCGTTGTAATCCTGGAATTATGCCATTCCAAAGTGCTGCTAAACCTTCTTCCCTAGCGATTGTAGCCATAGTACCCAATAGGCCCCTATATTTTGGTGCACCAGCATCATCCCCCGCGACTGCTTTCTTTTGGAGCTGAAGCCTGACTTTAGCAGTGTCTAAAGGAATGGTACAGAACTGCAGAATATTCATGCATACACCATTATACACCAAGCTTCGATTTTTATGCACACGCACACAAACACACACATGAAGTTGAGACCTTGTAGTTGTAAGACCGTCAAATCATAATTCAAGTGCTCAAATTGTTCAACACCAAGATAAAATAATTAAACCGTCTCGACTTTAGCCTAGCATTCGCCATTTAACCTAATTTGCTCCAATTTTCGATCCTAACCTATCAGTTTGTTCACATTAAGCCACATTATGCAAATCTCTGAACCATCATACCAGGACCAACTGTCAAGCACAAAAGAGCAGCAGCTACCTTCAAATTTCAACTTCATATATCCACATTCATTCCCACAAACAGGAGATCAAAATTCAGCACTGAACTCAATCAGAAACTCACAAAACCCAAGCAAGAAATTACACTAATTAAGCTAAAAACACAGAAATTAAAGCTAAATTATGATCAAATCCACCGACCCAGTAAACTAAATTTCACAACTAAGCAGTAAAAAACTATCATTTACGCTGAAATTTAGAGCATGAACACAAACAGGTGAAGTATCATCGATTACCTCAGCGAAGCAGGCGGCGAAAGCACTGCAGATGAAAGTTTGCAAGAAGGAGATCTCAGACCTGGGGCTGAGATCTGCCATTGGAAGGCGCAAAACGAAAGCTTCAAAAGCAAGGAATTTGGGGAAATGGGGAGGGAAATTCAGAGGGAATGGGGGGATTAAGGTTATATAAAGAAGGTGGTTAATGATTAGTTACGAAGGAAAGGTACATGGAAAAAGATCAAGAAGAAGGAAGCATTTGCAATCGCAATCGCCTTTTTATCACAACTTTGCCATTTCTTGTCGGTTGTCGACGTCGACGTCGTCGTCGTTTTTAATTGTTTTAGTTTTGGGGGGTTAGGTTAGGTGGACTTGTATTAGTTAAATTGGGATTTGCTGCTTAATTTGATTTGTTGGCATTGTGATTTTGAAAGTTACAGCCTCTCAACTCGTATAACAAATCATGTTATCTGTAATTCAACTAGTGTGGATGAAAACTCTACTAATCATCTCAATGCGTGTTTAATTGGATCTAAACAACATGTGACGATGATTTTCTCAGCAACATAACTTATCCTTGTGCTGCTAAGCTCGATGACGAACACTTGTGATTTGAGGAGTGAAAGGAAATATGACTTCTATTTTTAGCTTTATTTGCTTAACTTACATTTTACAAGATTTTCACTCTTAGCATTTTATTTAAAAAGGAGTATTTGTTGATTTTTCGACGTTTAGTTTGATGATAAAATGCATTTAAAAGAGAAAATAATTCACTATGATATGTTATTTTCTGTCTAAAAGGGATTGATTGAAGTTCATCAACAGAAAAAAAATGTGGTGGGAGAAGGGTTCGGTGTCAATACTAAATGCAAAAAGTTTGACACCAAATATTCCCAAAAAGAGGTTTCAATTGAATCATAGATGTTAACTCTAAACATAAAAGAAAATTAATTAGTATGGAAAAGAAAATTAATTGTTACAAATTCTAACGAGAAAATATTGTGATGTATCGTGAGATAAAAGAGGCAACAAATGAGATTGAGCATAATCCATTCACCATATAAAATTTCAGCTTATGTTTGACTTCTTTATACTTTGTGCTACCATGCCATTACTTCAAACAAGAGTTGTGAACAAACTTTGGCTAAAAATTCACTAGAATTACGAAGCTACTTTAACTTGCACGGTCTAATTTGTTCAAGTGTCATCAACTTTAACAGTATTGTAAGTGTATAACTGAGTGACAAACCCAAGCGTAGAAATTAGTGTTGTTTTTCTTTAACTTAGACGAGAGGCATGCCAATCAAGTGTTTAAGAGTATTTGATTTAACCCACCTTGAGGTCTTGCATTTGATTCTTCCTTCCTCCGTTATCGCTTGTGAAAACATTGTCTGTTAGAAAACTCACAACGCTTATTATTCAATAAAAAATCGCATTATTTGCAACTCAATTAGTGTGGATGGGGACTCTACTAATCATCTCAGTGCGTGTTTAATTGAATCTAAACAACATGTGACAATTATTTTCTCAACGACATGACTTATCCTCGTGTTGCTAAGCTCGATGATGAACACTTGTGATTTGAGGAGTGAAAGGAAATATGGCTTCTATTTTTAGCTTTATTTGCTTAACTTACATTTTACAAGAATTTCACTCTTAGCATTTTATTTAAAAATGCGTATTTGTTGATTTTTCGACGTTTAGTTAGATGATAAAATGCAATTAAAAGAGAAAATAATTCACTATGATATGTTATTTTCTGTCTAAAAGGGATTGATTGAAGTTCATCAACCAAATAAAATGTGGTGGGAGAAGGGTTTGGTGTCAATACTAAATGCAAAAAGTTTGACACCAAATATTCCCAAAAAGAGGTTTCAATTGAATCATAGATATTTAACTCTAAAGATAGAAGAAAATTAATTGGTATGCAAAAGAAAATTAATTGTTACAAATTATAACGAGAAAATCTTGCAATATATTGTGAGTAAAAGAGGCGGCAAATGAGATAAAACATAATCCATTCACCATATAAAATTTCAGCTTATGTTTGACTTCTTTATACTTTGTGCTACCATGACATCACTTCAAACAAGAGTTGTGAACAAACTTTGGTTAAAAATTTACTAGAAAAATTATAAAGACATATTACAAAGATACTTTAACTTACACGGTCTAATTTGTTTCACTGCCATCAACTTTAACATACTGTTAGTGTATAACTGAGTGACAAACCCAATTGTAGAAATTAATGTTGTTTTTCTTTAACTTAGATGAGAGGCATGCCAATCAAGCGGTTAAGAGTATTTGATTTAACCCATCTTGAGGTCCTGCATTTGATTCTTCCTTCCTCCGTTATCACTTGTACATTAAAAAAAAAGCCATAAAAAAAGGAAATTTTAACGAAAAGCCCATACTACTGTTTACTTTAACGAAAAATTACATTTTTATACTAAAAAGTCAAACATGATACTTTTCACTTTACCATTTATTTTGTCGTTATCATTAAAACTCAAAGTTTTAAAGTTTTTTTCATTAGTTTTCCTTAAAAAAAAAGGCTTTGGTGGTGTTAGTTTTTTCTTCATGGGCCACCCGGTCATGGGCCTTTAATTTAATTCAGTTTCTGGATCAGAAATAAGTCCAAACAACTGAAGGTGCAGGAATAATTACTCCGTACCCTCACTGCAGCCAATCCCTCCCCGTCAAAGTCCTGCGCGGGAACACGAACCCACCAAATCCCGCCAATCAAACCCCAAAATTCCCAAGTACGCTTCCCATTTCCCCCACTATATAAACCCTAACCCCCACTCCCTCGCTCAAACCCTCCAAATCTCCCCCTCAATATCTCCAAATCGAACAACCCGCACGCCTCCGACGACCCGGAAACGATGTTGGAGCTCCGACTGGTCCAGGGCTCGCTGCTGAAGAAGGTGCTGGAGTCCATCAAGGACCTGGTGAACGACGCCAACTTCGACTGCTCCTCCTCCGGCTTCTCCCTCCAGGCCATGGACTCCAGCCACGTGGCACTCGTCGCCCTCCTCCTCAGATCCGAGGGCTTCGAGCACTACCGCTGCGACCGCAACATCTCCATGGGCATGAACCTCGGCAACATGTCCAAGATGCTCAGGTGCGCCGGAAATGATGACATCATCACCATCAAGGCTGACGACGGCAGCGATACCGTCACCTTCATGTTCGAAAGCCCCAGTATGTTCTTTCTTTCCTCCCCCCCCCCCCCCCCCGCCCCCCCCCCCCCCCTTTTTTTTTTATATTAAGGTTTTTTTTCCCTAAACAATTTGATTCATTTGGGATTTCGTTAATTTGGGTTTCTTTTTTGCTATTAATTTTGATTACTGGCCATTAATTTTCTTTCTTTATTATTGCTTTTTGTAATTGCTTCTCTTGCATGCAAGAAATTGTAGGAAAGCAAAAAGAAACAATCTTTTAAATTTATTTTTATGAATTTGAAATTGATACTGGATTTGATAGTCATTTTTCTCTTATTTGGTTATGACCTGCAAATTTGTTAGTAGAATTTAAGCAGAAATGGGGTTTTATCTGATAATTCTGTGTTTGCCGATGTTGATTACTTTGTACCGCATTGAGGTTCTACCGTAGAGATTCATTTATATGATCCTGCAGTGGCTCTTATTCTGTATGGAAATATGTAGAAATGCTGATATTGTGAGAAATTGAATTCTAAGTGACGAAAGTTGTACTGACAGTGATTAAAATTATAGGGAGATATTGTATCCGATAGTTGTATATGTTAAGTGGAAGTTTTGGAAACAAGGTTTTGGTTATGTGATAGTTTATTACCATGCTTCAATGTTAGTGTTGTAGTTGGTGTATTTGTTTGTTGTTTTGATTTTCGGTGTTTTCTATGGGTGACTGATCACAGCACAAGATAAAATTTCTGATTTTGAGATGAAGCTGATGGATATTGATAGCGAGCACCTTGGAATTCCGGAGGCAGAATACCAGTCTATTGTGACAATGCCCTCTGCTGAGTTTGCTAGAATATGTAAAGACCTCAGTGGCATTGGTGATACTGGTACTTTTTACTCTTTATCCCTTTACATGATTCCGCTTTATCCAAATTTCGTGTATTTGTCTTGTGGATATGTGAGTAATGGTTTGATGTTGTTTGCAGTTGTGATATCTGTGACCAAGGAAGGAGTGAAGTTCTCTACAAGAGGGGATATTGGCACTGCTAACATTGTCTGTCGGCAGAACACTACCGTCGACAAGGTATACTGTCCTTGTGAAAACATTGTCTGTAAGGTTTTTAGCTACTGCAATCCGATGCCTAACTTTATTTTGCTGATTTTCGGGAATTGCAGCCTGATGAAGCAACTGTCATAAATATGAGCGAGCCAGTGTCGTTGACATTTGCTCTGAGGTACATGAACTCGTTCACAAAGGCTACCACATTGTCGAACACGGTCACAATCAGCTTGTCTTCTGAACTTCCAGTTGTGGTTGAGTACAAGATTGCAGAGATGGGCTACATTAGGTTCTACTTGGCTCCCAAGATAGAAGATGACGAAGACGAAACAAAGCCTGAAGCTTGAGTGTTATGCCACATCATCATCAGCATACTCTTTTGCTGATGTAAACTGCTCTGTTTAAAAATCCAGGCAGAGGATTTGTAATACGGGTTTTTTCTCGCTTTCTCTGTGACAATGAGTTAGCAAATCTGTAGTTTAGGAGTTTTTGAATCCATTAGGTAAAGATGTTGTAGGTTTTCGATTGAAGACAATGTTATCTTTCATTCTCCCATTTCTTTTCTCTTCATGGGTTCTTGATTGATTTCTGGGTTATGTGTAGCGAAATCATCACGTTATCTTTCATTATCAGCGAAATCAAACAATAATACACAAAATTCGAACTCCCTAAATCGAACAGAAAAATTTTGAGCTAAGCACATCGGGGCGCAAGGTTACAAGGCAAATGACAGACCACGTTGTTGCTTGAGCTGTCCTCTCTGATTTGGGCAGACAAAAGCCCCTTGTTCCTCTCCTTTGCACAAAAAATGGAGAGTGCAGCTCAGGAAATCTGCTCACATATATATATATACCCATAAAAATACTTAATCTACCTCCCTCGTTTCTTGGCTTCGCCGTAGAGGATGACTCCTGTTACTGTGAGACCGTAACCGAGCATTCCGGTCACTGATACCGGATTTCTGAATATCAAAATTGAAACCACCACTGCAACCGCTCCTTTTGCATTTCCCAACACCTGAAAGAGACAGGATGGTAATTGTATTCAAACATTTTTTTAACATAGAGGAAATTAAGCGTCGCTACACCTAGATGATCATATTGATTTATTGGCAAATGAGTTTGCATTTGTCCCACGTTAAGGCTTGTTTGGATAAATTCACATGGAGAAAGGGTTTGGAAGGAACATAACAATATACTAGATTATAGGGCAACCCAAGCCAACAAGGCTCCGTGCCTTGTGAGGATCAGGGAAGAGAACGTCTATCGTATGCAATCTTGTTTTGCAAAGAGATTGTTTCCATGGGTAGAACTCATAATTGTAGCAATGTTCTCAGATAACACTATTACCGTATAAGATAGTTCGACTGTGTCGACATCATCTCAATATGTTCAAAAAAATATTTAATTACCTGGAGAGTTAAGGCACTGGTGTGTTTGGTTACCACGAAGTTGGTCAAATTGACAAAATATGCAAGAGCAGAGTTGAACACCAGGTACCAGACAATTGACACGTCATCTCTTGCAAGTGCAATTGTTATTCCAACTACGTCCTCTTCCATCAAAAGAGCTGCAGGGAGAAGGATTGCCACAGCTACAGGAGCCATGTACATGAGCAGGTTCATGGAATTAAGCTTTTCCCTGGGAAATTAAACTGGAATTACAATCTCACTTAATTAACTCATAATTTTGTTTAATTAGTTGGTAATTAGATGTTAAATATTTATGGAGAGGGTTACCCTTCAGAAGAGAGGAGTATCCCTTGAAGCACTGACTTGAGTGCCCTTGCTGCTGTAGCACCAATACACATTATAAATCCAAACAGATGAAAACTTGGTTCTCCCTTCATTCAATTAAAAAAAGAAGAAGAATATGAATAACTTCTCTCATATTTCCTCCAAAGAAAATAACATGAAAAGTTATATTGATCAAATCCTTCTCTTAATGTTTTTGACATTGATAAAGAGCATACAATGAGAAACCCTTAAAAATTTTAGCTAGTACAAAGTTCTTTCGACCAGAATACCTTGCATGCATTTTCAGAAGTTTATGGTGCTGCAAAAATGCTACGAAAATGTACTTTATGATTGTGGTAAGAAAAAAATTGTGTACGATGATACGAACAGTTGAAAATAGCCAAGATCAAATTAAGGTTTGGTAAAATATGTTTTACATTTCAAATCAGGTAAACCAAATATTTAGAAGAGTGAAACCAATGCCCAATCCCAAAAACAAAAATTAAAAATTAATTATCAAAGAATATAAAAGGTCAGACGATAATGGCCAAAATTAAGTTCAGGGGAGAAATTGTCAAATATAAAAGTTTTAGGAGGAGAAATTAGCAGCACTTTACAAGTTCGATGGAAAAATCGACAAATGCCTAAAAAATAAAGAGCTTGATATTACGGTCTTACCCCGCTGGCAATGATAACGCCGGTGACAACCGGAATAAGAGTAACATACGTGACCCAGCCCTCCTTCTTGAGAGTCATAATATACGCAAACACAGCCGTGAAGAACGGCGTGGTGGCGCCGATGGCCTGGTTAAACGACACGGCGAGGTACCGGAGCGAGATGTTCCCGCCAACGACAGACAAGCAGAAGATGAGACCGAGGGACGATATCTTGAAGAACTGGACGCGTGACTTGATGCTCTGCATGGGAACGACCTTCATCCACGAAATGGCTACGTAGCTGAGGAGGGAGCACGCGAGCATGTGGCAAAGGGTCAAGAAAATCGGGTACTTGAACCCGTAATTGCTCAGGAGAAACTTGTTCAACAACAAAACTCCGATGTTCGACGAGTACCATGCCGTTATTAATCCGACCGTGACGAACATCGACATGTTTTCGGGGTTTCGGATTTGTTAAATTTTGTGAAGGGGAAGGTGGAGTGCATGGATTTGTTGAGGTTGTTTTTGAATTGTTGAAGGATGTCGGAGAGACAAAGATTTGATTGGAAATGGGGGATGGTGGGTTGGAGTGATGGAGGAGATCATGTAATGGATCTGGGGAAGGAGATGGAAAGAAATCTGGAACGTAGATTTCGAGCTTTAAATTCGGAGGTTTCTTTTGTTTCTTAATTTACGTTGTTCCAATGTTTTAATTTTTGTTTTGGATTATAATTTTGTGTAAATGAGTGGGATGTTATCTTTGAAATAATTGCAATTTGGTGATAGACATGTATTTATTACAATTGTTACCCTATTATTTATGTTTGTTAGTTCCTCATTCAGACTATTTTGAATAAATTACTTTAATTTTGTAATTTTTAAGGATTAGGATGCTTATTGATAAAAGTGGAATTTAACATGGCCTTAACACGTTCTATATGTTTTAGTCTTCCTAATCACGTCGGCTTCATCCATTTAATCAATTATTATTTTATTAAGCGGTGAGAGTTGATGCAATTTCTTCATGCCACGTCTGGAGTCTTAGTCAAAAGAAAATAGGAGGATTAAAGTGAGACGGAAAAGGAAATAGTTTTGACGTGTTGGAAGATGTTTTTGCTTTCCTATTCCAGTTGGGAGTTTAGCAAAGATTCTTATGAATTCTCACGGTGTGCAACCTATAAAAGGACAAAGCAGCAGCAAAGATTGGGTATTCTTGGTCTTCCGGCGTGAAACAGAGAGAGCAGCGACAGAGCGGCGACAATTTGGTTCTTTTTCTCTAGTTTTATTTTATGCAAAATTTCCTTCTTAGAACTACTATGAATTATTTGTTCATGGGGTTCTAAAGTCTTAAGTTAAGGCTAGAGGAAGCCCTAATTATGATTATTTTAGTTATTTGATTGTTTATTTTGTGAATTTCAGATTGATGATTAGTTTTCATTCACTAGTGGAATTACAATTTTGAACCATAGCCTAGGATTTTGATATTGAAATTATTTGCATATGAATTTATTTCTGACCATGAATTGGATTTTATCAATGCTTTGTGAATGAGAATCATGAACTTATATTTTGATCCGACCGTAGACGAATATTGGTTTGTGCGGCTTCCTAGAAAATTAGCTATTTGTTTGACGTGACCAAGTTGATAAGTGGTTAATTTGTTTCTCACTACGCTTAATTGGATTTCTACATGTTTGTGTATACCGGACCATGGATATAAAGACTGTAGAAATAGTTGAGTTTAAGCCTGACCATGGTAAAATTCACATCTCTTTGGGAAATTATTAGCAAGTGTACTTGACCACAAATATATGTACGGAAGTTGTTTTCATTAATTTGATAATTCATGAGTTGACAATTGGATACTAAGGTATGACAATTAGTGGTGGAATCAAAGCCTTAGTGTTTTCTTACATTTGTTCTCAATCATATTTCTATTTAATCATTGTTAATTTTAATTACTCTTCGATACAAACCCAATCTACAATTTGTTAAGTAATAGTTATAGGATTAAATTGTTAAATCAACTCCGGTGGATTCGATCTCATATTTACATATTTCTACTACAACTAATTCGTGCACTTGCGAGTAAATTTGGGTTGAATTAATCTATTTATTAGGTTAGTTTAAATTCACATCATTAGGCATATCAATTTTTTGCACGACCCGGTAACCCAACTCAAAACAATACAACAATAACAGGTTTCGGATCAACCTGTTAACGAATCAGATTGTTATCATGTCACCCATTAATGAGTTGGGTTGTTCTCGGATCACTCCGTTGATAACCTGATAAAATATCGTTTGCCAGATCTAAACTTAGCATGACAACTTTTGCATGACCCGTTAACTCGATACGAAATGACACGATTTATTAACGAATTGGGTCATTATTGGGTAACCTGTATAAAACACATTAAGATAACAGATATGACATGATAAACACAGCTCGTTTGCTAGGCCTAATTATAGTACGAGGAATGTTAGCATGATAATGCAAATTGCAGATTAATCAATGGTTGTTATTCGTCCACGTGAGTGAAAACTACTGCTTGCAAGATTTATTTCATGTTAAAAATGTGGAGTACAATTGATTTTAGGAAAACTAATGAAAAATGTTTGAAAACTTTGAGTTTTAATGATAAGGATAAAATAAAGGGTAAAATAAATAGTACCATGATTGACTTTTTAGTGTAAAAATGTGATTTTTTGTTAAAGTGAACAGTACTGTGAGCTTTTCGTTAAAACTCCCATTAATTTTTGATAACAGGCAATTGCAAATCAATTAATGTTGTGCATTTTCTGTTATTTTATTTCACCCGACCCTACGAGGGTTGTTTTGTCAATGACATTCTTAATTTTGATTCATTTCACCTTAGTTAGGGGTGGGCACGGTGCGGTTCGGTGCGGTTCCACCCTTAAATTGGAACCGAAACCGAAATATATTAACGGTTCGATTCGGTGCGGTTTCACTTAAATTTATTACTAGAACATTACGGTTCGATCTACACAGGTTCCGATTCGGTTCTTGCCGGTTTACGGTTCCTAATAATAAATTATTTGAACACCAAATCATTATGCATTCAAATACATCTTCTAAAATTGATTACATAAAGTTGCATACAACACGTCTTTTTTAATGCAAATGTCTTTATTAGTGGCACCAAGTCAACAAAAAGAGACAACTAAAATACATATGCACTGGTCAATCAGTCAACAAACAAAAAAATGATGAAGCAAATTGCAGGTTTTCAGACTTCAGAGAGCAAGCAAGAAGCAGCAGCTCCTGTACACAATTTTTTAACCTATTTTTCAATCTATTATACCATGACATGAGTGTGTATATATAATTTATTTATTGATTATTAATAAAACGGTTCGGTTGGTTCGGTTCGGCCGGTTCTTGGTCATTCGAAACCGGAACCGGAACCGATTTGAACGGTTCAGTTCGGTTTTTCACTCAAAGTTGACTTTTCCGGTCAACACGGTTTTTTTTGGTTTTTTTCTTACGGTTCGATGCGGTTTTGCGGTTTGGCGGTTTTTATGCCCACCCCTAACCTTAGTCACATGAGATCAAGGTGAAAGCACTTTTGAACAAAAAACCGTTTTTATTAAATGCATTCATTTACAAGTCTCAAGTTGACTGGCTGACATTTGAGTAATTTTGAGCTAGGGTTCTGCTCACATTTTTCCAGTGTTCCAAAAAACATGCCCCGAGGCACGCCTAGGCAGGCTTTGGAGGCCAAGCTGGAGTGATAACGCTTCTACCTAGTGGGAGTAAGCAAAAACTTGCCTAGACTTGATTGAAGCGCGTCTGAAAGCGATTTATTGGGCCTTCCCAAATACATCAGTAACTCCTCATAGTAGTCTTATATCAACCGCATACAAAGGCATTTTGACGAGGCAAGTACAAAGACATGCGTCGGAGCCAGTTCTTTTTTATCTTCCAAAATCCTTAGGGCAAGCTACAAGTTCCGAAAATTTACTCAAAAAGTGTTTTTCCTTTCTGCAATGTGTATCTGAAAATTTCGTTACGCAATCCGCCAATGTCTGGAACACCTTAAACAAACTTAATTACACATCATATTAAGAAAACAAAGAAAACACTCTGATAACAAAAGCAATGAAGCAGAAGGATCGGCGAGCCCCGGACATTAGATGAAGAATATAAAAAGAGAACTGTGGGGAAACCTGAGAAAAATGATCAGGATGGTTGCCTCCAATCTTCACCAGCATAAAATGCATCATCCCCAAGTTCTTCCTCAATTCGAAGTAACTGCAAGAAAATTTGGCCCATCAGTTTCGAATCATGTATTCATTTGTACACGGACATATGGTCGCATAAGAGAAATTGAGAAAATAAAAGCATGGAAGACCATAAAAAGAAAACTTCCTTTATTTATTACGGACGCCCATCAGTTTCAAATCATGTATTCGTTTGAGTTATATGTAATGCAGACATAATTCTGTTGCACCAACACTTGTCCTTGGACGATTCCAATTGCAATTACTTGTCTCTATAACATAAGCTATGAAAAAGGGAACTCCGCATGGGGATGGAATATCAAATATGGAACTGCAAAGAAGAAGTACTTTCCATGCAGAATTGCACCATAATATCCGATACCAAGAACTTGTTAAGCAGCTGGTAACACAAGAATGGTGGACATGGTAACTGAGTATAAAAGTTTACCTGGTTGTACTTGGCCAGCCGTTCGCCTCTGCAAGGAGCACCAGCTTTGATCTGACCAGTTGAGAGACCAACAGCTAAGTCGGCAATGAAGGAATCTTCAGTTTCACCACATCTATGAGACATGACCACTCCCCAGTGGGCATCCTTCGCCAGCTTCATGACTTCAATGGCCTCGGTCACTGTTCCAATCTGGTTTATCTGATTTTGAATTGTAAAATTATCAGTTGCCTCTATCTTATCTCTCATCCAAAAAAAAAAAAAAGCATAACAGTAATATAGTATTCAAAGTATCTCAAAACCGTAGAACAAAAACAGACTAAACAACTAAATTAAAAACATCACATATCATCCAAATATAGCTAAATACCTTTACGAGTAGAGCATTGCAGGTGGACTCCTCTATAGCTCTCTTAATACGCTTTAGACTTGACGTTATCAAGTCATCTCCAACTACCTGAAAAACCATACAGCCTTTAAGTTAAGACATCTCACCATATCTCAGGTCTTCTAAAGGAGAAAACCTTGAGGCATCCGATAACAGACTAACTAATTTATACAGGCAGGATTCTAAATTGCTCAGCGACCACCAACCGAATTATTCTTATAAGTTACTGAAAGACGAGGTCAGATATTTACGATAATATCTAATAGAATTTGCAGTGTACTACGGCCTTAAACATTCACAAGGATGTTAAACAAAAACAGTTGAAGGCCCATATCTATCTAGTTACTTGCTACATAGTTTTCCGTATACTATGGAGGGACAACATTCACAAGGATGTTAAACAAAAACAGTTGAAGGCCCATATCTATCTAGTTACTTGCTACATAGTTTTCCGTATACTATGGAGGGACAAAACAAAAACTATCAATCCCTTTTCTGGTCAAGGCTAATTCGGCAAAGAATGAAAGCACCGCCAACAAAAGAAAAGTAAACACACCTGACAAATTCCAAGACTAGAAAAGCGTTTAGTGTGTTCCCAGTCCTCTTTATCAAACGGATCTTCAATTGACACAATTGGGTACTCTGACATCCCAAACACAGGGAAGGAAGGCAGAAAAGGTAAGTCACAGTGCAAAATTGCAAATCAAATACATTGAGAAACAGAAAAGGAGAGACTCATGTACCACTACAAAGTTCTTTATACATCTCGATCATATCATCAGCCGACTTGAAATTTTGTCCCTTATCCACTGATTTGTAATCCAGGTCATACTTTGTACCTGTATCATGGGGAAAATCAAAAGGAAAATATTGTCATTAAGGTATACATGCATTCATGTTCTATTTCTAAAAAGAAGATAAATTTTAATCATTACTACATGATTGATAATTTAGCCTTGGATTTCCATCAAAATAACGTAAAATGCAATTATTTTCCCAAACTGCCATGTTACAGATACAACCAATTCTCAAGAAAGATCCATCACCTATGCAAAAGTCAGTAGCAGCAAAATCAATTGCTAGTTTGATTCGCTCATTATAACCTGTTCTACTGATCGCCTCTTTTACAAGATCCAAGACTTCTCTAACGCTGCCAAGAGATATAGAAAATAATTAAAATAATTGGCACATCATCTAATTAGTTCAGAGGTTTCTCATAAGGCACAAAACAACCATAGTAAACAGTTCAGAAAAACCTAAAACAATGTGTTTATGCATTTTAGGAGCATCTAAGATGATTGTTCTCTTCCAAAGACTTCTTTCAGGGGGATTAATGAGGCAAAGAACTTAAAGAACACTACACATCACACAATAAATACTTGCCTTGAGATGTTGGGAGCAAAACCACCATCTTCACCAACATTACATCCATGTGCGCCATATTTTTCTGTAATAACAGCCTGCTCTTTTTGTGAACAATAATAGCTATCAATAAAAATGAGAGACAAAACTATCAAAACAAAATGGGACATAATGGCATCGCCTTGTTCACATGTACATAGAAAAGTCCTTTTCCAATTTCTTACACACATGTGATGCTGAGCTATTGACTTTATTATTTAAGCCAAATAAATTACATGCATAATCATAGATTGGCCACTTAAGAGCAGCTATGAAGAGCCACAAGGATTAGCATAATGGCATGAGAAAGCTGAAATCAGTCCATACTCTGATATTTAAGATTTGGACAGGCACAAGTCACTTAATATTTAGATGAATTTTCCTTTTCAGAGCTAATTTTCATTGTCATTAATCGAGCTGAATATTTGTTGAAAAATTTGGCACTAAATAAAGCTTTAATTGAAACAATTTTTTGTAAAGAAATTTTTTATCCTAAGATGTGATCTTGATAGGTTATCAAACGTGGTCAAAGACTTTGATGACAAAAGAACACGTGGTCAAATGAATACTTACTAAAATGCAAAGTGAAAAAAGTTGCATTCAGGTCCATTGCAGTTTAATACACAAAATGGGCTATATTCTTTACCACATAAAATAAGGTGATTGCGTGTACGAATGAGCAACTCATCAGGTCTCGTAAAATGGAAAAATATTTTTTTCACATCAGTAAAGGCAATACACAGAATGTAATCTCCAAAGTCAACAGTTGAGATGAAAAGTACCTTCAGGTGATGATAGGTTTCAGATCCCATTTGCAATGCCTCCTCAAACTTGCTAGCTCCAATTGGGAGAATCATAATTTCCTAAAAATTTCAAGTCAAGTTTAATTAGAAGGACATGCCACACAAAAGCTTGAAGCGTCCATGCCAAAAAAAATTGTATTGAAATCTATAAAGCAACTTCAGCAGGCATATAAACAATGTTATAGGAAGAACCAAGGAGAGCATTAAGCAGTCGTTACTGACACACTCAAATTCATGTAGAAGTGTTTGACCAGTGAGCTCCACTGTAGTTTCCCACAAGCCAATTTCAAATATTTAAAATTTTAACTTCATTTTAAGGTAAAATGCCGTACTTTCATGATGTCAATACGTACCCACATTAATAAATGGTCTAAATATTGAAACCCCTCTCCCTACATACATTAAAACGAAAATAAAAGATTTGGTAAGTACATATCTATAGACTCAAGCTTACCAGAGCATACCTGAATGGCCAGATTATTCCCAGCATGCTTTCCTCCACTAATAACAGTAAAAGCAGGGACAGGCAGGGTCAGGTGGCCTTTTCCAGAAAGGTCGGCAATATATTTGTACAGTGGAACCTGATATTAATCTTGACTCAGACATTTTCGAGAAAAAAGTATACAAATTTTAGCAATACCAATACTTAGTAAGCAGTAACAGAGAAACAGTCATGCCTCCTTTTGAGCAGCTCCAGCTTTGCAAGCAGCGATTGACACGGCCAATATGGCATTTACTCCAAGTTCACTCTGAAAGTATATTTGAGAATAATCATTAATCCAGAATCATAAATAAAAAGTAATATTACAAATGCTTAATAGAGTTATCCTTCGCAGTTAAATTTACGCAGACAATATAAAATTATGACCGATGTCTATTATTTATAATTTTTTATAGCCGGACAAGGAGAGTCATAGCATGAAAGCACCAATATATAGTAGTAACAAATTCTCAAACAGATCATTTACATCAAGCTGCATTGAAAAACGAAAAATATTACCTTCTTTTCTGTTTTATCGAGGTCTATCATTGCCTGATCAATCTGCGACTGAAGCGTAGGATCCATGCCTACCAATGCTTCAGATATTTTCTCATTGACATTCTTAACAGCTTTAGTCACACTATTTCCAAGATATAATCCCTTGTCCCCATCTCGCAGTTCAACAGCCTCATACCTGGTTTCACCAAACACCTCCTTGATAATTAATCTCAGAATTTATAATTTTGAACATGATCGAGCTGAAATAGAATTGTATACAAGAGGCATAATACACAGTTACTTAATAGCAATGCTCTTGACAAATGCAATAACAAATCAATTTCTGAATCATACAAAGCATTTCCACACGCAAAGAAGAAATATGCAATTCAATATGAAACGAAAGGTCTATACAAATACAATTCTCGGCAGCCAAACAACAGAGAGAGAGAGAGAGCTTACATTCCGGAAACATCAGAGCTAGGAGCTGAAGCACGAAACGTTCCTTTGTTAGTGTGGAGGTCGACTTCGACGGTTGGAATTCCTCTGCTATCGAGGATCTGCCGAGCTTTGACCTTTGTTATCACTGAAGGAACCGCTTTCTTCATATGATTCGACTGCGTAATTCAATTCAAAAACAAAGACATACAACAAAATCATTTCACAGCTCAGACAAAACTAATCAAGAAACTACAATTTCCTTCTCTTTCCACAAACTTTCCTGCACTTTCATTTTCCGAGTAACCAAACAGAATCACAGACGAGAGAGAGGGAGAGAAAGCAGAGATTTACGATGAAGAGGACGGGATCGGAGGCCTTAGCCCTAACGGCGGCATTGACGGCGTCTTCGATTTTCCGAGAGAGCATGTGGTTATCCAAGTAATCTTGCACCGACATTTCTTCTTCTTATTGATTTCGGTCGCTGACCAAAACACCGGCGGTTTTCAGATTCAAGCTCGGCGGAGAGAGGCGGAGCGATCTCTAATTGATTCAGAGCTTCACGCACAGTGAGAACAACGACTGAGAGATGCTCGTGACTGGTGCCGAATATTCTTTTTAAAATTTTGAGTGCGTTGTGTTCCGGTTTAGGGTTTAGGTCCGAAGGCGGAGGCTTCTCCAAGCCTTCAGGTCCCCGGCTCTTGGATGTCAGCCGCGGAGAGTGTAGCAAAACGCAGCGTTTCCGTGTGTTAATTTCAAGTGGCTTCTGGTTCTCTCATGCTTTATTACAACAATTTTAATTGGGTCTGATTTGATGCTAAATTTTAATAATTATTGTGGTAATGATTTTAGTTATGGCCCCTTTTTTTACTTCCTTTATGCAGTTTAGTTTGATTTGGTTTAATCTTGTCTATTATTTTTATTTAATTTATTTGATTACATGAAAAAAATATAATAAGAATTGTATGAGAAGAAAAATGTTGTGATTTATTATATGCTTTTAATTTATCATTTACTTTTTATTTGCATGAATTTATTCTTATACTTTTGACATCATTTATTCAATTCGTGGGTAAAAAAATAAGGGTTAATGATGTTCACATACTCATTTTTACATCTCACACATCCTTGCTAATTTTTTTACCATTGATTTTCAATTCATTTGATTGGATGACCAAAAATTAAAAGAGGTGTGTGAAGGACAAAAATGAATGTGTAGATAAACTTTTGGCTCCTCCTTGAAAGCTTTACAGTTAATAATAATTAATCCAATCTTCCTCACGCTCGTTAGTTCATCTCGACAGAGGGACTTGAGTGGCTTGTCATAATCAAAAAGCGGGAGAAGGGTGAAGAAACTCAATCTATTACTAGAGACGAACAAGGGCCACAGACGCACTCGACGAGCAGACGAGGGACGAGTGGTGGGAGCTGACAAATAGTTGGGAGCTGACAAATAGTAGTGTTGGTTCAGTGAAGTCAAGCATTACCCAAAACAAAATTGCGGTGATTGAGCAAACTGGTTTGGTACAAGCCACACTATTCCCTCCTTTTGTTTAGGACATAAACATACCAAACCACCAGAAAATATTTCCACCAACCGCAGCAAGAAAGAAAAAAACAATTCTTAAGGTCGTCGCAAATGACTATTTGTAACAGAAAGCGCGAAGCCCTTTTTTGACGAAGAAGCACATCCGTTGCGAGAATCCTCTGCTATTGCAATCCTTTCCTTGCCTCATTAGTGGAGGTGTAAAACAACCATAGTAAAAGAAAAATAAAGACTAAATTTGATATAGATCTAATTTTGCGAGTCGTTATTAAGTTTTAGTTCATTTTATTTGGTTAAGTCCATTCTCTAATTGTCCACATCATCATTTTTTTATTATCTTTTTACTAAACTGTAATGAATACCGTCCTTTATTTATAGGTTTATATTTTACTAAATTGTGATGAATAATTAATTTTGGGAATCTCAATTTATTACTTTTAAGTTTCTTGGTTCAACATTTGGTCCATCAAGTTTTGTTCATCCTAGAGTGGTGCTGTTAAGTAAGCCATTAACTGGTGATGTGGCACCCATGTAGATAATGACTGGACGACACATGTCAATATGGGCCCACGTGGATATTAAAAAAAATTAAAAATTAAAAGAATTTAAAAATCTGGGTCCAAACTGTCGTCCCAGAGCAAGAATTCGATCTCCTCCCTTCCCTCTTCCATGTCTCACACACATCCATCTTCTCCGAAGTACCGACCTTGACCCCTCTATCTTCTCCGACCAACTATATCCCAACCACACCCATTTCTCATCTCGACAATCCACTCCCAAACTCCCCTAAACCGCCATTTTCACCAACACACCACACCGAGAACCCACTCAGAAATCAAACCATTTATTTTCACCCACCACACCTAAAATTTGTATATCCAAATCGCCAAAGACACCACCGTTGGCCCAGTATCGCAACGCTCAATCTAAGAAGAAATTGAAACACGTCCCACATCAAGATCTCCAGTAAGGCCATGAGAATCATGAATAGCTTCATCAACGACATCTTCAACAAGCTCCCCCAAGATTCGTTGAGGCTTGCGAGGTACAACAAGAAGCCAACGATCACTTGCCAGGAAATCCAATCTGTGGTGAGGCTCATGCTTCCCGGTAAGCTCGCCAAGCACGCCGTTTTGGAAGGGACCAAAGTCATGACTAAGTTTACTAGCTCTTGAAGGTTTAAAGTTTGTTGGTTTTGATGTTTGGTATTTGAAATTGAGTCATATAGGTTTGTTGGTTACCAGACCCAATTCTCCCGCTCGAAGTGTTCGTTGATCGCCATTAACCCTTTGTTATCTTTGCACACCGCCATCGCCGAGGAGATTCTGGGCGAGAGTTACAAGAATTTGATTTGGTGTTGGAGAGAAGTGAGAGGGTGGGTTTTGGGTAGGGGTCGAAGAGGGAATTAGGGGTTGGGAGAGTTTTGGGACGAGGGTGGAGGAGGGAATGAGCGAGAGAGACCATAGGGAGGAATTAAAGGTTGGGGGTTCGGAAAGCAGATCATGGAATATGCAAAACAATCTTAGGGTTTTAGTTTTTCTTAATTTTTAATTTTTTTTAATTTTATAAATTTTAACTTTTAACAGATAAGTTTTTTTTTTTAATTTTCAATTTCAATTTTTTTTTTAATTTTTAATATCCAAATGGGCCCATATTAATACGTAGCGCCCAGTCATCGTTCACGTGAGTGCTATGTCACCAGTTAATGGCTGACTTAACAACAATCTTAACGAATACATGTCTCAAAATTTTGACTTCAAGTGCCACTTCGGGATAAAAAATCCTTGATGTACCAAATATTGAAAATTAAGAAACTTGATGGCAGTAAACTAAAATTAACCCATTATCACATGTTAAATGTATTTTAATAATTTATGGAATAGATATTTAATAGTTTATGGTAGGGATGGGTTCGGTTCAAAACGGTTCGGTTTTTTGCCAAAACCGAAACCAAACCGAAATTTCGGTTCGGTTCGGTTCATTTTTTTTTCGGTTCGGTTTTTTTCGGTTTCGGTTTTTTCCGGTTCGGTTTCGGTTTTTTTCGGTTTTTTATTTTTATTTTTAAATGATGTAAATGGAAGGAACCTACCTATCAACCTCTCAGTTCTCATATATCAGAGAATTGAGAGCCTCAAAATCCTGAATATATTCAAGTAATTCAACTACTTGTGATCAAGCAGAACGAATTCAAATTTTCAAAAGTTAAGCAAATACATAAACATATATTCTTCAAGGAAATGTACATCGCCAGGATTCAAAATTCAAAAACTTTAAAATTTACAAAATCATGAAATAACTCAACAAATTAACTGATCGATGCAAATTGAAAAAAAAAAAAGCAATTGGGTTCTTCTAAATACCATAATCGGACTTACGCGTGCCCAGTGCCCACATTCAAATTCATAGTCAAGTCCACAATAGATCTAGAAAATTCCAAAACATATTTAGAGAAAAATACAAACTTTTTCACCTTAAATTACATAAATTTCAAATGGGTAACCATACAATTAAAAACTTATGAACTGACAAATAAATAAAACCACAACCTTTGTTGCAGCGATATAGCCATGATCGTCGCAAGCTCTTTCAATTCCTCTTTTTGTCGGATCTAGAAAAGGGCGAGGGAAAATCATGGTTTGGAAGAAGGAATCCGCGAGGAGGACAGGGAGTGATTTGGAGGAAGAGAGGAAGGAGAGAGAGAGGGAGGGAGAGAGAGAGAGAAAGAGAGGAAGCAAAGGCAAAGAGGAAGCAGCAGACGGAACAGAGAGGTGTTTGAGATCTGAAATGAAATGGGAGTGAGACAGCTAGGGTTTGTAAAGTTAAGAAATTTTATTAAACATAAGAAACCTATAAATAAATTACTGGTACAATTATAACAACACAAAGCCTACAGTCAAGTTGGCTTGCAACAACCAACCCAACCTGTAGGGAAAGGGTTCAAACCCAGACGGCAACATGTATTTTTTAGTATTTATATATGATTTTTTTTTTCGGTTCGGTTCAATTCGGTTCGGTTTCCAAACCTCAAAAACCGAAACCGAACCAACCAAATTCGGTTCGGTTTGGTAGTTTCGGTTCGGTTTTTTTCGGCCTCGGTTCGGTTTGGTTTTCGGTTTTTTTTTCGGTTTTCGGTTTTTTGAACCCACCCCTAGTTTATGGTATACACATATCATGATTAAATCAAATTAAAAATAGAGTAGACATACGAAATTAATAAATTTTATTAAAGTTGATAAAATAGGAAAACTCCATTTTGAAAAAATCAAGCACAACGACGTTCTAGGATTCACAACCAACCACACTTATTTTTGTTTTGGAAAGTTACGAAAACTGGACTAATTCAACAATTGTTATGTAGGAGGTTTTCTTAATAAAGTTTATATTGCTACATCAATCAATATGATTTTCCACACATAACGAGTAGAACTAAAATATATCTTCCAAACTTCCTCATTATTTGGAAGGAAACTCTACAAACAAACGTCTCGTTGAACAATTTTTTTTAAGTAGGTTGTACTCAAAAAAATTGTGGAAAGAAACCCTAAAACCCTAAAGCCAATTCCATTGGACCGGACTCGGTTTCGTTGGGGCCGGATGTTGTTGGGTTTGGGCCGAAGACCATTGGGTTTGGTTGAAACCCGATTGGGTTTGGCCGAACCCTGTTGGGCTGGGTCGAACCACGATTAGGCTGGCTAGAGCTAGTTGGGTTAGACCAAGTCTGATTAGTCCAACCTTGTTTAATTGTTGAACCAGCCACGTTCAATTGTGGACCTACCCCGTTCGAATGTTAGACCAGGAATGTTTAGTTGTATCTGATCACCTCGCCTGGGACAAGGGTAGCCTTTTTGTGTTTGCGCATGCTCCGTTTAGTTGTTGAGCCAACCCTGTTTGGTTGTTAGATTCGGTTGTTGGATCGACCCCGTTCAATTGTTAGATCGGGTCTGCTTCGCTGTGTCCAATTGCCTTAATTGGGACCAGGTTAGCCTCTTTTCGTTTACGCAGGTTGAACTCTATTTGGTTGTTGGACCAGCCTCATTAGGTTGTTAGAACGACCTTGTTCGGTTGTTGGACTGACCTCGTTGGGTTATTAAACCAACCTTGTTGGGTTGTTAGACCAACCCTGTTCGATTGTCTCACCAACCTTGTTCAGTTGTTGGATCGACTCCATTTGATTGTCGGATCGGTCATGTTCGACTATTGGACCAACCACGTTTGATTGTTGGACCAACCCTGTTTGATTGTTAGACTAGCCTTGTTCGGTTGTCAGACTGACCCCGTTCAGTTTGACTAAGTATGTCTGGTTATGTCCGATCACCTTGGCTGAGATTGCGTTAAACTCTTTCCGTTTGCATGAACCCTCATTCAATTGTTAGACCAACTTCGTTCGATTGTTAAACCGACCTCGTTTAATTAGACGGGGCTTGTTTGGCAGTATCCGATCGCCTTAACTGGGACCACGTCAAACTCTTTCAGTTTGCGTCTACCCCGTTTGATTGTTGGATCGACCCCATTTAGTTATTATATCGGCCTCGTTCAGTTGAACTAGGTCTGTCTAGCTATATCCAATCGCTTCAACTAGGACCACGTCAAGCTTTTTTCATTTGCGCCGACCCTGGGTTTGTTTGGTTGTATCCGATTGCCTCAGCTAGGACCAAGTTAGCCTATTTCGGTTTGTGCAGGCCTCATTTAATTGTTGGGCCAAACCGGTACGATTGTTGAACTGGCTCTGTTCAGTTGTTGGACTAACCCCGTTCGATTATTGGACCGACCTTGTTTAGTTGTTGGATCGACCCCCATTCGATTGTTAGATCGGGTCTATTTGGCTATATCTAATCGCTTTGGCTGGGACAAGGGTAGCCTCTTTGCGTTTGCGCAGACCCCGTTCAGTTGTTGGGCCAACCCCATTTGGTTGTTAAGTTAACCCCGTTGGGTTGTTGGACCGGCCCCGTTCAGTTGTTAGACCAACCTCGTTCGATTATTAGACCAACCCTATTTGATTATGGACTGACCTTGTTCGATTGTTGAACCAACCCTTGTTCGATTGTTGGACTAGGTTTGTTTGGCTGTATCCGATCACCTTGGTTAGGACAAGCGTAGCAACCTCTTTATGTTTGTGCATGACCCGTTTAGTTATTGGGCCAACCTCGTTCGTTTAGCAAGCCAACTCATTTCGATTGTTAAACCAGCCCTGTTCAATTGTGGATCAACCTTGTTCAATTGTGGACCGACCCTGTTCGATTATTGGACCGACCTTGTTCGGTTATTGGACCGACCCCGTTCAATTGTTAGATCAAGTTTGCTTTACTGTGTCCGATCGCCTCAATTGGGACTAGGTTAGGCTCTTTTTGTTTGCGCAGGTTTAATTCTATTCGATTGTTGAACCAGCTCTATTTGGTTGTTGGAACCTCATTCGATTGTTGGATCGACCTCATTGGGTTGTTAAACCGACCCTGTTCAATTGTTGGACCAGATTCGTTCAGTTGTTGGACCGACCTTGTTCAATTGATGAATCGACCCCGTTAGATTGTTAGACCAACCACATTCAATTGTTTGACCGACTGAGTTTGGTTGTTAAACCAACCCTGTTCAGTTGTTAAACCGACCCCATTCAATTTGACCTAGTCTGTCTGGCTATATCCGATCGCCTCGACTAGGATCGCGTTAAACTGTTTTCGTTTGATCAATCCCCATTTAGTTGTTAGACTAGCCCCGTTCGATTGTTGGACCAACCTCGTTCAGTTGTTATACCGACCTCGTTCAGTTGAACTAGATTTGTCTAGCTGTATCAAATCACCTCAACTGGGACCACATCTAACTCTTTCTACTTATGCCGACCCCGAGTCTGCTTGGTTGTATTCGACCGCCTCAACTGGGACCAAGTTAGCCTCTTTCGGTTTGCACAGGCCCCGTTCAATCATTTGGTCCAATTCGATTGTTGGACCAACCTCCTTCAATTATTGGATCTACCTTGTTCGGTTATTGAACCGACCCCCTTTCAATTGTTAGACTAGATTTGTTTGGCTATATTAGATCGCCTTGGCTGGGGCAAGGGTAGCCTTTTTGCAATTAAAGCCCTGTTCAGTTGTTAAGCCAACCCTGTTCGGTTGTTAAGCCAACTCCATTCAATTGTTGGACTAGCCTTGTTCAATGTAGACCAACTTCATTCGATTGTGGACTAACCCTGTTCGATTGTTGGATCACCTCGTTCAATTGTTAGATCAAGTCTGCTTCGCTATGTCCGATCGCCTCGACTGGGACCAGGTTAACCTCTTTCCGTTTATGTAGGTTGGACTCTGTTCGATTGTTGGAACGAACCTATTCGGTTGTTGGACTGACCTTGTTACGTTGTTAAACGAACCCCATTCAATTGTTAAACCAACCACAACCAACCACGTTCGATTGTTGGACCGACCCTATGTGGTTGTTAAACCAGTCCTGTTCGGTTGTTATAACCCCGTTCATTTTGATCAAGTCTGTCTGGCTGCATCCAATCGCCTTGACTATCATTCGTTGGACCAACCCCATTCGATTGTTAGACCAACCTTGTTCAATTAGACCGTGTTTGTTTGGCTGTATTCGATCACCTTGATTAGGACCACGTCAAACTCTTTCCATTTGCGTCAACCCCGTTCGATTGTTGGACCGATCCCGTTCAATTGTTATACCGACCTCATTTAGTTGAACTGGGTCTGTCTAATTGTATTCAATCACCTCAACTAGGACCATGTCAAACTCTTTCCGTTTGCGCCGACCTCGGGTCTGTTTGGTTGGATCCTGTCACCTCGACCGTGACTCTTAACGAAAAAAGTGAATATTTGAAAAATCCAAAAACATTTTGTTTTTTATTATTATTATTTTTTAAATTTCTCTTGCATGTTTTACTTGTAGATCTCAAAATCTTTGTGTTACAATTTTTAACCTACATATTTTGCTTGCAGAAAATAAATCTTGATTGGAAAAGGGTTTGTGAAACATGCTTCTGATGCAAAAATTGGTGAATATGCAGGTTGATTTCAAAACATGCAAGGCAAACGAGATTGCCCCGGATGGATAATATAGGCTGGATCCTGCATCCAGCAGCAATTCTACATTGACATCAACCACAACAGTTCTAGTACTATCATATGGCAGAAATTAAAGGCGAAAATCCAAAGCAGACGAGCAGATATGAGGTCCTAACCTATCATTGCATGACTAAGTTTCTGGCCATCCCTAATCATGCACATCTAACAGATATAACCCTAAGCATGTTTCTAAGCAGTCAAAGCAGACATCAGTTAACAAGCGGGGTTTTCAGAGATCATACCATGGCGATTCTGATGAAGCTTCTGCACTCAGATCCACTCACTCCCACCCCATGAATTAATTACATACCATTTCGAAATTCCTAATACATTTTCTAAAGTTCGGGTCCGAGTGCAGAAGGGTCCACATTGCTTAATCCAGTTTGGTCCAAGAGTTCATTTCCATTTTTCTCTTACTGGAAACAAGCACATAAATTAACCTCAGAGTTAAAAAAATTAAAAAAAAAAAAAAAAAAAAATCACCAGCAAGATTCATACATTTACAGATGAGTTATTTACAGTGAAGGACAGTGAAAATTTATATACCTTCCATGCAGTGGAGCTGAGCCTCACAACTCAGGCCCGTTTGCCCTTGATGCCTGCTGGATCCGAATATACCATGGGCTTGCAAACACAAACATGGCACATGAGATGCAAACTTCACAGATTCAATTTATTCAAGAATTCAAGTTTGGGGTTCTTAGGGCTCTACAGATTGCACATTCAAGACAGAGACACAGATCAAACTTTACTCAGTGCAGGGATTCACGTTTTGTACCTTTCAAAAATGATGGATCTGCGATTTCCAGTGTTCCATCGTCGCTTTTTTTTTTTTTTACGGATCTCAGGTCCATGCAAAAGAAACAACATTAGCATTAGGATTTTAAGATTTTTCTTGTATGGTATATTTCAATCGGTGAACCTGAGTGCATAAATCGACAAGGGAGGGCGAGAAGTTTACCTCTGAGTGCATCGGCACCAAGATCGGTGCTGCTACCCTTCTGGTGTTGCAGCAAATCCATGGCTGCGAGGTCTTATGGGGTTGATGATGGAAGATTAAGGTTTGGTTTGCAGAGACGGAGGTTAGGGTTTGAGAAAATGTGGAGAGAGGAGCTGCGGTTTTAGGGTTTGCTTGGAAGAAATGGGAGAGAAATGAGGGAGGTGAGGACTCTAGAGAGAGGAAGAGCTCTCAAACGGCTAGAATTTGAAAATTTGGAGAAATGAGCTGCTAAATGCGTTTATATAGCCTTGTTCGACTTCAAATCCAAATAGCATGCCGTTTATCCATCTTTCTTTGCCGTTTTGGTTTTATTTCTGTTTTGCGCCGAAGACAGGAATAGAAAGGCCACACGTTCCGGATTTGGATTCAAGCATCTTCACATCTTAACCGTTTATCGTAATCGTGCGATCAGAAATCATTTTAAATTTTTTTATTTAAAATTAAACACAAATATTACTCGTACGTTGTAAAATTTACTGCCATGATATAAGCATCCCTAAAATTCCTACAAAGAAGATCCAGCGAGAATCCCGCATCCCACACGTTCCCACAAAGAGAATTAAAATTGTTGGATTCTCAAACGGCATTTCACATTTGCATACCAAATTTCCAGATTTAGCAAACAGCAAGAAAGTAGTATAAAATTTATGTTGCACAAACAACGTCGTCATTACACAGCAACATAGTACAAACTACAAAGGAAGGAATACAAGATGCTCTCTGTACACGCAAGAGATAAAGAGTCCATGGTAACTACTCGGTCGTATAATCAGCATAAAATAATACCAAGTATTCGCGTATGAAGTTACAGATAATATACGTCATCTTATGCTACCACAAAGGCACTAGATGAACCTGTAAAATGGCGAATGGATCCCACTAAACTCTTTGAGGCACCAAAATGTCTAATTCTGTATACACCGGGAGTCGCAGACTGGGGAATTCTCCATTCTATGGTTGCCTGACTTCTGGTACTAAGTTTGGCGGGTCTTGACCACTTAAACCGCAGGCAGAAATCATCGTCGTCATAAGCTGGAACCCAAGTATCTTCTCCATGGAGAATTTCCACAAGGGCGAATGTACCTTCAGTCATAAGGTCATTCCGAGGACAAGCAGACCAGAAGGTAACTGTCACCATGTCATGGCCTCTCTTGAAGGTGGAGTTTTGAGGAACATCGGAGCTGCAGTCCCCAAAACTAACACCACGAGGGGTTGCATCCATCACAACTGGTGTAAGTAAGCTTATTTGTTTATCAAGGAGATCTGGGGGTTGTGGACCTTCTGCAATGGATTTGCCACTGGTGAGAGCGGTAGCAAGCTTCTTGAACTCCTGAATGTAGGCACTGAGCGTGTGTGGCCCATACAGAGTGGAGGCACCCTGGGAAGCACAACAGGTTAAATAGTGAACATATATTACAGTACGACATTCCCAACACAAATACAGCAATTTATGAATTTTGATTCATAACGCTACAATAGAAGTTATAAAAAAACAAAGTTAACGAGAAAAAGGTGAAATCAAATTGTTTTCGGAATTCTGGTTACTAGAAAAACGTTTAGAGTATGAGTTCATTGCTCATTTTATTTAATCTATCCGTGATATTTTCTCAGTTACTCTTTTTAGAATGTATTAGCAATTCATCATTTCAAGAAAATAGGAACTGACCTCGTATCTCTGCACCTGATACTCTTCAAAGGTAGTGATATACTGTGAATATGTATTAGTCAATCCAGCTATAACAACGTGAACATTTTCGCCATTACCACTAGTCAGTACTGACTTCACAGCATCACGGAGGCGCCTACCGGCCATTGTTGTAAATTCTAAAACAAAACCATCAGAAACTTTAGGAGCCATATAAAAAGTTGACCAGTTGAAGGAAAGAGAGGAACTTTAGTTTGTCCAGAAGCAACTTTAACTTATGAACAAGGAAAGAATAAATGAACGAGGACAGTGAATGCATAATGTGGTGCTTAGAAAATTACTGCAACAGCATTGTTTAGCCCCTCTACTATTTTCTGAAATATAGGGTATTCATAGGTTGGTTTTAATTATTAAAGCAGAAAACTCAGACAACACATTAAAAAATGAAGGTATTTAGGCATGAACCTCAGTTGAAAACGTTAAATACTAATTCCTAGTGTTTGTTTTATAAAAAGATGGACAAGATACTACCTCCAGGTACACTGAGAATGACAAGCTGTCCTACTCGGATGATCTGAATTGGAAGTATTGAAGGCTGCATAAACCAGGGAGAAAGAGTTATTTGAATGCGTTAAATCATTAATCTCTCATGGCAAATATCATCCAGAAGATATCTACCAAGCATAGTTTTGTAACTCATACAGAATACAACTCAAATGCGCCTATACATTAAAGATAATTTGGATTTATCTTGGCTATGCAGATAATCCAAACAGATAAAACAGGAACTGCTATTTCCTATCTTAAATATAACATGAATCAGATATGATCTTGCATAAGATACGGACCTCAACTATCTAATATAACAGGTGAACTACACAGCTACGGAGCGTTCTAAGAGGTTTTAATGAGATACTATACGATCCAACCATTACGGAGTTTTCATATAATGCAACATCTTTGTCCAAAGAAGTATGTCCACAGAAATTGCAACCTACCGCCCAGTCATATGGTTCCTTCATTTCACCAGTATCAAGCAAGATTGGCTTTGGACTCTGACATTCCACTTGTTCCTTGCCTGGCTTTTTAAGTACATTGCGCACCAACCTCCAGAATGGATTTCCCTGATATAACATAATAACCATGGAAATTAGTTACTTTGAAATTATAATGGGAGAATAGAACATGCACTAAATATGAAATATTGCATTTACATGTTACCTTATCATCGCCTTGCGTGAAATCAAAAGCCCCAGGTCCATCAGTGGTTCCAGCAGCAAATCCAAACCCCATTGCAGCAGGACATGTTTTTACCACCTCTGAACCTCCTCCCTTTTTGGGAAGCGTTACTTCAAGTTGGGAGAAGTCTACATAAGTATGACGATAGTCAACTTTCCCCTTCAACTTCTCAGATGCCTTGTTGAAAAGATCCACAGCTTTTTTGAGTTGCCTCTCACCAATTATACGTGTACTTTCAAATTCATCTGGGTAGCTGTAATGTCATGTACAAGATGCAATTTAGCATTCGCACAGGCGTCATAAACCATAACCATATGTATGCATGTCGGTAACTAAAGATATATGTGCGCAGAGGAAGAAATACCCTGGTCCACGGCCATAGCACAACTCATTCTTCCCACCACAGGTACTGTGATTAAATTCACAAGGTAACCCAGTGTCTGTACAGAAAGCGCCTAGAACATTGGGGCTTACATCACCACAGTTCGATTGACAAAATGCAGAAACAAATTGAGGCTTGTCCGCCTGCCTTAGTGCACCCCTGACACGTCTTGCAACACTCAAGGTCCTGGTTGCTGGCTTACCAGGACGAGACTGAAAGGACGCAGCAAGCTCTAGTAACTCATGGTCTGAATCAGAAAGAAAAACAAATAAGCAATTTCTACTCCCTTTCTTATTGTTCTCATGACCAAAGTAATATGATGACTCAACACAATCTTACTTCTACACCTTTGGTAGCAAGTTTCACCATAGTTCTGAATGTACAGTGAAACCAAACATATGACATATAAATGCGTCAAAGTCTCCTTCAAACTATGTGAAATATGTTTATAACAAGCACAGATAAAAAATATTTAAGGTAGAAAGTTGAAAGGGAAGGGATCCTATTAACACGTCAAATGATATCTATGATTTTGAGAGCAACTCCTCTTGCATACTTGGTTTGTTTTGAAAAATCTTCTTATAACACAATTTCAGTTCATTGGTTCTCCTCAATTATAAAGGGAAACATCCACAGGCAACTGGACAAGTCAACCATGCTTAGTTTTCAGTACCATGTGCATCATATATGTATAGGAAGCATCAACCAAACATCAGCATGTAAAACAGTTAGCTTAAAAATCACGCACGTGAAAATCAATATTAACATCCCAAACAAATATCATGACACATTAAAGAGGGTGTTGGCATGTATAGTTCAATTCGGCTATTTCAGAATAACCAAAAACCAATTTTATGTTAATATGAGGTAATTAAATGCAACTGAGGAATAACTCACGATTGTCATGACGGTCAAAAAATAAGTTTGAGACTCTTCGAGGGATTCCATCGGCAGCAAATTCATGAGAGTATGCACTTTTAGCACCATTCTCTTCAAACCAGTCTTCCATAAATCGTGCAGCAGCACCCTTGTTATCCCCACTAATCAATGAGTTACTACGGCTCATGGAAGTTCCATGAGTCGCAAACCAATTAAAGCTGCCCACTGGACCCCATTGATCATCAACAAACTTTAGAAGAGTCATATCTTTATCGACATCATACTTGTATTTACTGCGCTCTGCTTCAGGGTTACTGAGATAAGCACTGGGACTGCGATTTGCACCAGCGTCCAAAATTTCCCCTGTAAGGAACCAAAACGTACATTAGAATTCAGTCACTAGGATTTAAAAAAGAACCAGAAAAAATGACCAGGACTCTCCAACTTACCCTTATTAACAAAAATTGATCCCGGCGCGAGATTTTCATGAGCTTGAGTAATACTTTTTTCAATTCCATCAACAAGAACATCAAACGACTGACGCACGAATCCAAGAGATGTCACAATATACACCACATATTGAAGATAACCACCCGGGCCAGCGTGGGTGTGAATTCCACTAATAGCTACATTCTTTTCGGTGTATAAATCCCCATACCTGCCAAACAAAAACCCAGTATCATTTCCATCACATACCCGAAAAAGATGAATCGCCCTCGAAACAAACTGCATACACTTGATACCAATTAACAAATTGCAAAAGATTTTATGAGAGATTAGCAACATATCAAATAACATGAATTATAAAATTACCCATCAAATTAATTCTAACTATAAAATTTAATACACTCTGAACAGCTGCAGCTCAGCTCCAAAATTAGTCATATAAATGGCTTACCTTGCTTTCAACCTCTCGACCACCTTCAATTTCACAAGTTGCGATGCCATGCAAGCATCGAGATTCACAAACGCCACCCGGTTCCCTTGCGGCTCCGCCACAATGAACGTCCGAGCCCGCAACCGGAAGTGGACTCCGGCAGCGACCTGCTCCGTGTTCGCGTACCCCATCATGTTGACATCGGCGGCCGGCCCCGTGATGTCGTAGCTCCCGAGACCGATCAAATACTCTGAACCGGAGACTGCTCCTCCGCTACTACACAGAAGGATCAAAATTACGAATTTAGCCCACAAACCTCTGTACTTTCCCGTAACCTTGGAATTGGCGATACCCAAAATCTCCATTGCTGCTCTCTCCTCAAAAGAACCGATTACAGCTCGATCATCTCCTTCCGTTGAAGAAAGACACAAAAAAATCAACTTTTAGCGACGAAAATTCAACGAAATTAGAGAATTGAAAACAAACCCAGTTCTATTTTTTACTGATGGAGCTCTCAGTGATGAGAGAGAGAGAGGGAGAGAGAGAGAGAGAGCGCTTGGGAGCAAACCTGCAGTTTTGTAATGGAGTCAAAGCGAAGGAAGGTGCTGGTAGCGGGGAAGGGAAGACACGGATGCTTAAATATAGATTTTTAGCTTGGAGTTTTCAGCAACTTTTTATAATATTTTTTATTTGACGTTGCGGGAGCGTTCCTTTTGGGTGCATGGAATCTCCGTGCAACGGATCATTGGATTGTTGTGGATCGTGTGAAGTATTTGACTGGATCGATTTTGATGGGCTTGGATCTCGGGTCTTCTCCGGGGCATGAGGGCTGTTGATTTTCTGATTCAAGTCTTTCAACTTTAACCATGTAGGTATATTTTAATGCAGATTTTCTCTCACGAGGACGAATTTTGTGCGCATGGGTTGTGCATGATCTAGGTTAAATGTAATGACGTTATAACAACATTAAAACTACAATTTGACGTCATAATGACATTGTAACAACAGGTCACGCGTATGGCAGTGTCGTTACAATATCGTTGAATTGTTAGAATATTATTATGATGTCGTTATGGTATGATAGATTGTTGTTATTGGAGTGTCCTTATGGCATCATTATATTGAGGACCTGGCCATGGACCATTCATGCACAGACGACCCGCTGCATAGGAGAGAAAATGTGTATTTTGATGAGTATTTCATCGATTTTCGACTTGAATTTGTACTCTATTGCCAATTTGATTCATAAGCTTTTATTTTGGTCAATTTCTTTTCTTAAATATTACAAATGGCTAATTTTGCACTTCTATCCTCATATTTACGGTAAATCATTTACCATATTTCATCTAATTTTCCGTCAATAAAAGTCACAAGCTTGTCACCAAATATTATTTTCTATTGTCTTTTCTTAATGTTATATGTTTTTTTTTTTTCCTTCTTGATATATGACATTTTTAATGAAGATTAAGTTATATGAAATGTGGAAAAAGACGATGTAGAGGTAAATGCATTTATAATAGTTCAAGAGAAAACTTAATCCAAATAAAAGTTCCAAGGGGTATACGGAGTACAAGTTCAAGAGAAAAATCGACAAAATACTCAATTTTAATATCGCAAAAATGAGTTTGGTTTTTACCTGTGAACGATTCTCTTTGAGCAGGTCACCTGATTAAAAGGGAGTGTCGATATAATATCGCTTATACGTCGATAACATTGATAGATAATATGTCAATGTGCACAAAGAAAACCCTCACATCCACGTGTGGGAAAGAACATGGAAACTTCCATGTTTTGCTGGTGATCGTGATATATACCTACGTACAAACTTTCTGTTTCATACGTGCATCATTCATCACGCCCACTAAGGCACGTCAGAAGCCAGTCCACTTCATTTCAAACTTGTAAAGCTAACCCTAGATTATGCCAAAAATGTACTAGCACGACGAATGATCGTTGAAATTCCCGTAGGGCCATCTCGAAGATAAAGGTATCACACTAGGACATAAACCCAGAATTAAGATCCTCTTTGGATCTCGCAGTCTGGAGTTTACAGACCAAGAAATTCTGGTCATTCATTTGAAATCCTACGGTTCTCATTAGCCTATCACACTGGCACACCTCACAAAATCAAGGGCTCGGTTCTCTCTCCCTCTCTTGAATGATTTTCTCGGTCCGTTGCCTCCAAACTGCGAGATTTAAAGAGAATCTGAATGCAAGTACTCTTAATACTTAATCAAGTCATTTTTCATTGCTTGCTGTAAAAGCCACATAATATAGTGTAACCGTGTAAACCATTTTGGCAAAACACGCACCGGTAAATAATAATCTTGGTTGATTCTCTTAAGGAATTGAAAGTAGTCACATAAATCTGTTTGCATGATTCTGTATAAAGGGTTGTTGTGTCACTTGTGTTGTATTAGGGTAAAAAAGATTATTCAGGTGACTTGGCGATCATATCATCCACATAGATTTCAACTTTTTTATGCATATACTTTCTATTTTGACAGAAAATAAAACAATCACACTGAATTCATTTAAACTACGTGAAATGGTACTTTTGGGAGCATCGTGCTCTAGTCAATTTGGCTGAACCCAGACATGTGTATTTAGCTAATTGATAGATAATAGGGAAATTATGAAGTTATCGGTGGCGCGGTAGGATTCAATTACCTATTATTATGGCTAGCTCATTCATTCCCTCACCCCTTATGAACATGACTTGTTTCATGTTCTTTGAGGCTGAATATCAACATCTTCGTTATCATTTAATTGTTCAAGATCATCTTGTTGTTCATTGTACCGTGTCGGCTCATCATTGTCAATTTTAAATTTGAGGTTTGTAATGACATTCAAAGGCATTGCAGGAAGCAACAATATGTCTCTATATGCATTTGATCGCTAGTCACGTACGCATTTGAATTTAGGATATTGAAAACGATGTTTTTTTTTTAACAGAAAACTCAAAACATTAGGGTTTTCTACAGAAAACTCAAAAGGACCATCACCATATGGGTTCACAGATCACAGGACATCTTTTAGTTGGAAATTCAACCTTAATTCTACAACAAAATCAAACTTTTATTCGTATAACCAAAATCCCTTCTCAATGTTCTTGCTTCGGCTCCCCACGATTCCTCAGGAAGACATTGGATAGAGTAGATTCACCAACAAAAGATGCTACCAAAAGAGATAAAGCCTGCAACAAGAAACAAATTCAAGAGACGATCAACAAATGACTTGAAACTTAAGAACTAATAGACACACAGATATTATATGCATGCAGTTCAGCTAAGGACAGTCAATAGAGGATTAGAGTTGAATGTTTCAAGATGAAAATGTTGTGCTTTGGCCGGTCAGTGCAAAACCAAATTTAGATTATCTCACCAAACTATAAACCCACAGTTGAACAGTTTAAAATACAAGAAATTTAGATACCGAGAGAATTACGAGGTTCAGCAAAAATCCTGCGTACGTTCTCGGCGTGATATTACTCTTCACTATGAGAATACCTAGTACAAGATACAGTTTGAGTTAAATCGACATAACCCAAAACCCAATCCCTTGTACACTCACAGAATTTTCCCCAGAGCCTCACTCCACCTCAAGAGTTTCTCACTCTCACTCTCTGTTTTCCATCCTTTGTGTTCTCCTCCGGATGCTCACTCAATGCATAACTATTTCCCTTACATATAGTCATGCACTGACAATTATGCGAACAACCAAGACCAAGAAAATCTTAAGCTCAAACGGCAACACCCTTTCCTATACCTAGCCTATAGAGTACAACTTTTTCTCCATTTGCCATTTAATGCATAGAAAATAAAACATGCACAATTGCGTGCAAGCCAACACAAAGTCAAGACTTGCTTGCTTCCAACTTTGCTTGTGGCAGTCACCATGTCTTCTCTTGAAACAAGACTTCCATGCCACAACCGAAAGCCAAACACAAAGTGGCTGCTGCCATTTCCCTGTAGCACTCAGAAAGTTACACTATCAAAATTGTGGACAACTCATAAGTATATGAGCCAAACACAACAGGAAAACCATTCATTCAACAATATATGAAGCTAAAAGGAGTTTCTTAGAAGACGTGATTGAACCTAAGTGATTAAACCGACATTTTAAAACCAATAATTGCTTTAGTAGAATGAACGATATGATAACTCACCTCCTTCGTACCAACATGCACAGTTTGATACTGTCAGAGGCACATTAGAAGATTTAAGAACATGCAGTAGAAAGATCCGAGATTTTGGCCTTACAACTAGATTGTCAGTTACTAAAAACACTGCAGGTCCCTTCAAAAATCCATGATCACTACTTCGATTCTGATTGAAATAGGGTTTCGGATTAACAACTGTGAGTTTATATGACTCCGGTGATGAACAATTAGAACGTAGAAGGGATCTATTATTAATCAACTTGTCATCCACATAGGAAAAAGAGATCTCCTCAGTTCCTAAAATACTGTCATCCAAGCAAAAACCAGGAACAAGTTTGGGATAGAGCAGCATTTCCTTGTGGTAAATTGAGTTCATGTACCGAACATCAAAATCATGGATAGATTTGTACAACCGACCAATGCAACCGTTCAAGGAGCCCTCTTTCATGTTTTTTACTATAAACGCAAGCGGCAGAGTTAGGAAACTGAACAGTAAATCAACAAAATCTTCCCCTGCTTCTGCGTAACACAGAGTCATCTTTGATTTGCTGATGGCAAGCTTAACAGAAACCTTGCCTAGTTCATACCACTTCGTGTCACCAAATAAAATTTGAGATTCAATAGGTATTGCTTGATTGGGAATGCTACTGCTCAGTTTTGGTTCTTGTTTATGCTTTAGAAGGGTTTCAATCAAAGGTGCTTTTGATACTAAAGAGGTCATAAGCAAGTTCAAAATCTGGAAAAGAAAAACCAAGTCAGAAACAACCACAAAAAACAGCTAGCAATTTTGACACTCCTCTTCCCTTCATATACACTCTAACCGAATAGTGATAAAATCAGTAGCGTAAACATAAGTCGTAGTGAACAATTGAAGCCCCCACTGAAAGACTCTTCTCCCGGTACATGATTGGTTGATTATGGAGGAAATAACGATGGCACTTGACACCCGATTCATAACTCAAGAACTTGCATGGTCCGGAATCAAAACACGTAGTAGCGCAGCGGCCTAACATTATGAATGTACAAGTCCTTAAATATGTTACCCAAAATTTCCTCTTCCCCAATACTCTCAACACTTGCGTACAAGTTTTTCATGCAGCCAATGACCGCTGGATCTGAACGTATACGAGCAAGCTCGATAACTGTTCTCATGGGGATTATCAGGTAACTGAAGAGAGTCTCAACCAAATCATTACCAGACTCTACGAAAATAACCTCGTTACTTCCCTTGTCCACCAAGGCCTTCACGCAAATAGTAGGATTAGTAGCCATGGATTCTAAGGATAAGACCTACAACGAATGTTGGCTAAACGAAAATGGAGTCTATTTATAAAACAATAGGTTTCTTTGGCAGATGAAAAGTTTATAGGTGATTTCATTAAGTTCTCTTGATTTATTGTAGATCATTTGAATCCTGTTGGAAGACGAAGCATCAGGTGAACCAAATAAATACATTTACCATCGTAAATGTGGAATTTTGAAAAGGAAGTCGTTTGGGTAGAAATTGCAAACCCCAACGATGACTTGAAGACTTTTCAAAGCTCTGACAGCATCTCCAATAGGAGAAATTCTTCAGCACACTGAGAACAAGTCTTGGTACACAAGCGTCAACGTCCCGATACACTAACTATCTCTCTAATAAAAGTAGGATCTACAATACATACAATATTAGTACAGAGCTGAACATTATCACAAGGTTCGCCTAGATACAACTGATCTTTATCATAATAGTTCGGCAGCCTTTTACCAAACAAAACCATACAAATTCGACAGAAACAAACCGACTAAAGCCAACCAGGTCCAAACACCCTTCGCAACCAGATCTCAAAATCTCAAACCCAAATGTTACCATGTAAATAAAAATTAATCTCACAAATAGGAATACTGTGGAGTTCTTATGCAGTAACAACAAAAGCAAGCTCTTCTTTGTGTGACCAATCCTTCCTTATTGTTCTTGCTTTGGCTCCCTAAGCCCTCTAATGAAGGTATTGGTAAGAGCAGAATCACCTACAAACGAGGCCACCAAAAGAAGCAACGCCTGCAAAAAGTAACAAACTTTGAAGTTAAAAGAAATTTAAACAGATGACTAATGTTACATGTCCACAAAATGGGATGCCTTCAATTTTGAAGGTGGACATACGGATTGACTCAAGTAAGTATTCGATTACTTGTTTGGGATTATGGTGTCATTTTCCAACAATTGACTACCCTTGTTGGTTAGAGCAATCAATAACATAACATTGTGGACTGATGCAAATCAACAACCGTAACAAGGGAAGTCTACTGACAGATTAGAGATGTTGGATAAGATGACGAATCAGTCAAGGTGATCTGTGTTGCCGATTATTCATAAAGAAATCTCAGAGGGACATGAAATCTGGTAACAAAGATTCCACATAAACTAATAAAGCATAACATTAGTGGATGAACATCAAACATTATAAATGACAACTCACCTCCCTCTTGCCCACATGCACGATATGGTCCTCGATGTCGGTGAAAGGTACCTTCAATTCTTGAAGAACAGACATTTCAAGGATTAGAGATAACGGTCTTACAACTAGATTGTCAGTCACTGTGAAGGTAGCAGGTCCTTTCAGAAATCCCTGAGCACTTTCATCTCTATCTTCATGAGATTTGGGATCCACAACATTAAGTTTAACTGACTCCGCTGGAGTATTGTCAGGAATACAGGACTTATCAGTAGTTAACTTCCTGCCGACATAATAAAAGGACGTCTCCTCGATTCCTAACAGAGTTTTCTCGTATCGAAAACCAGGTGCAAGCATTGGATTAACCAACAATTCCTTGTGGAAATTTGACTTCAAGTATTGCTCATCAAAATCTTCGACACTCTTGTACAACTGACCGAGACAGCCCTTCCATGAAACATTCTGCATCTTTTCTAATATGAACCCAAGTGGGAGAGTCAAGAAACTGAAGAGTAGATTAACAAAATCCTCTTGTGCTTCTGCATAACAAACAATCTTTTTAGACTTGCTAACTACAAGCTTAAGAGAAATGTTTTTCTCTTCCTCATCGATTGTGTCGCCATGCATTTGAGAATGAATCGATATTCCTTGACTGGAATGTACATCTCCCAAACTTGGTATTTGTTCGTTTTTCAGAAGAATTTCAGTCAACGGTGTCTTTGATGCAAACGAATGCATAAGCAAATTCAAAGCCTGGAAAAAAAACATCAAGCTAGTTAGAAACCACTTATATTGTTGTTGATAAAAAAAAAAAAATATTGAAGGCACACCCCACAAGAAAGAAATACCTCCTGAACTCCCATATTGAACGTCAACTCCTCCGTAAATTTAGAATCTGTGACCCCTAGCTTCGAAAACAAACAAATGCTTAATGCACTTACTGGGGATATGACCTGTAAATCATCGGTAATTATCAGCCGGGGTTGCCCTTTCACAAAGACGCCTCCAACTTGAGTATCATCCACTGGAAGATCTGTGCCCCGACTAAAAAGACATCCACAGGAAGGACAACGGATACGTGTATAATAACTTAAGAAGCAATCATTAGCGCACAAAAGGTACTGTGTCGGATCATTGTCAATTTTCAACTTGAGGTTCTTGCACTGACAATCAGCAGCATTGCAGGGAAGTAACAACATAAGTATACATTCCATTGACCGGAACTTATTCTTATTAAATTTCACAGTACTCTGATACAAATTTCTCATACAACCTATTTCCACCGGTACTGAAGATTTACAGGCAAGCCTGACAATTCTTCCCATGGGCATTGTCAAGAAACTGAAGATAACATCAATAAAATCACCGTCGGACTCTACGAAGATAACTTTGTTATTTCCCATGTCCACCAAGGCCTTCAAGGTAATAACATTTTCGAGATCCTCATTCAACGCAGCCTTTTTTTCAGCCATGATTGAAAGAAAGCATAAAGTCGGCTTGCTATCCTGTTGTTGAACAAATTCGGTAAGCAATTGTCACAAATATTTGTTGTAGGATAATGACAACCGAAATAAAGCCTGTGTAGTCCGTGCCGATGTTAATTTATTTCCCTCCTCAAACACGAAAGAAGCTTCAAAATACAAATCAACTACTGGGAAAGAGATAAAATCTTGCGGAAAAAATAGCTTAAGCTATAGGAAACAGATTATCGAAAACCGGCAGACCGTATTTTTATCTGAAAATCTTCTAGCAGATAACAAATATGATACTAAAAGATTGAAAAAAAATAACCATCTTATTGAATTCTCTGGAAAAAAAAAAATTTAAAAAAAAAAATCATAAATCCTTCTCAGAAGATTTCCAATAATCTTTTTTAGAATTGTGACCGTTTGATAACCATGTTATTTTTGGTTTTTGGTTTCAGTTAGTGATAGAGAGGATATATTTCGGGAGAGTTGAAACAAAAATCATTTCATTTTCATTTTGAAGATTTTGTTTTCATCTATTCTTTCTTATTTCTTCCCCTCTCGCGTCACTTTCCCTATATATTTTCCTCGTGTCTCAAGCACAAAAATGGAAATCAAGACCTAAAAACCAAACCAAAGGGCCCGCAATATGACGTTGTTATTTTCTTTTTCATTTTATGTAATATGAAATTTGAAGTATCAACCTTCCTGATAAAGGGAACAATTTTGAGTAGAAAAGCTTGGATTGATCACAAGAAACGGTATAAGTACTAGTAATATAGGATCCAACATGTTAAAAAGTAAATAAGACAACAAATAAGAGGTTATTAATTACCTTAGTTCAAAAACTCCTTCAACCTCCAAAATGCAAATTCTGAATATGTAACCCACAAACATGAATGAGAGTCCTAACTCAACATCTCAAGTACACTTAACCGTACCAGGAAAAAAAAAAAAAAAAAAACATGAAACTTGAAGAACAAACCTTTCTGGGTTGAATTGGGCTGAAGTAATGGATGAAATATACGAAAGCACACAAGGAAGATCATCGATTTGGAGAGACAATATAGTGATAAAAAGTAAAGTGAGAGGAAGTAAAGTGATTGCTTTGTTTCACAACATTATCTTTTCATAACAGGAATGCTGCAGTAGATTTGAAATTATTGGTTAATTAAAAAAACAATGCTAAATAGACTCTCTTAAATTGGAATTCTTTATCTTATAAAATAAAAAATGGAATTTTCCATAGACTCCCTATTAGTTTACAACTTAACGTCAATTATTATGCCAAGTTTATAAAAATTTGCAAATAAAATATGAGATGACACATAATTTATAAATAATCCCACTTTTGAAAAAATCTCATAAACTTTGCATAAGGAGATGTTACCTAAAAGTAATAAAAATTTATATTTAAAATTTTAAAGCATTGGAATCCAACTCACTAGTTTCTTCCTAGTTAAGGATTGAGATTGTTACTTTTAAGTGAGATGTTTTAGGTTAGATTTTTGTTAACGACAAGTTTGATTGTTTAATATGTGGCATAGTGCTCATATTAAAAAAAAAGTAGTGCTCTTCACACACTCATTTTGTCACATCCCGGGCTAGCTCGACTACGCCTCACGGTTTTGCTTCTAGGAACTCACACAAGAACTTCCCAGTAGGTCATCCATCATGGGAGTGCTCTCGCGCGCTACTCGCTTAACTTCGAAATTCCCATGGAACCTGAAGCCAGTGAGCTCTCAATAGGCCTCGTGCTAGGTAGGGATGAGAATATACATATAAGAATCACTCCCCTGGACGATGTGGGATCTTACACATTTTACCTCGCACACATTTTTGCTAGATTTTATCTATTGATCTTATTTAATTTATTTGATCCGACGACCAAAAATTAAGAGGACTGTGTGAGAAGTAAAAATGGGTATGTGGATTGCACCACACAGAAAAAATATATTGACATTGCATGACAAGTGCCCTTTTTGAAAAGCTAAAGCTAAAATTAGACTTGGCAATTGTGGCGTATTTGTCGTGTTCGTGTCGTTTTCGTGATATACATGATATCTTAATGGATCATATTGTGTCAAATCCGTTAAAATGAATGATAATATAATATGACCCAAACTCGACCGGTTAAAATTAATGAGCAATATCACCCGATCCGTTCCCATTAAGAAAATATATTTGACTTTCATTAATAATCGAATGAAAAACGTCACACTAAATTATGTGTTAATATTAAAAAAAAAAAAAAAAAACAGAGATATGTCAATGACACTTTTAAAGTGAGACTCTTCGTAGATTCTTTGCCATCTCACGACGTCAATTTATGTGTTAATATTATAAAATATAAGATAGCAGACTCTTCGTAAACTCCCACTTTTGAGATATTCTCCCTAGCTTTTGACAAGGAGATGTTACCTAAGAGTGGAAGTAAGAAAATTTTATATTTTAAATTTCAAAGCATTGGAATCGCACTCACAAATTTCTTCCTAGTTAAGGATTGAGATTGATACTTTTAGGGGCGTGTTTTAAGTTAGATTTTTGTTAACCACGAGTTTGTTTGTTTATTATTTGGCATGTTACTCGTATTAAAAAAAAGTAGGGCTATTTATTCGTTGATTTCTTCAATTCATTCGTTGATTTCTTCAATTCATTCGGTTCAACTACTAAATATTAGGAAGAGTATGTAAAAGATAAAAGTAAGTGTGGATAATACCCAAAAGAAAATATACTTGACATTGAATGACTGGTGCCCTTTTTGAAAAGCTGTAGCTAAAATGATGGCCCGTAACATGCACCTCTGGACTGATGGTTTTTTTTCTTTAAAATGGTGGCCCATAACAGGTACAAAAAGGTTTGATCTTTAATTTCATGGTTTTTCCCTTTCTGAATTGTATATTATTGTGCTGTTGATCTGTTTGAACTGATTCAGTCTGAGTACTCGCTTGATATGATTTAATTTAGTCTAAGAAACTTACACATTATTATAACGTTGACACATAACGAATGTTGGCTAAACGAAAATGGAGTCTATTTATAAAACAATAGGTTTCTTTGGCAGATGAAAAGTTTAAAGGTGATTTCAATAAGTTCTCTTGATTTATTGTAGATCATTTGAATCATGTTGGAAGACGAAGCATCAGGTGAACCAAATAAATATATTTACCATCGTAAACGTCGAATTTTGAAAAGGAAGTCGTTTAAGAGGAAATTGCAAACCCCAACGATGACTTGAAGACTTTTCAAAGCTCTGACAGCATCTCCAATAGGAGAAATTCTTTAGCGAACAATTCTTGGTATACAAGCGTTAACGTCTCGATACACTAATTACCTCTCTAATAAATGTACGATCTACAATACAATATGGATGTATTTGTTGCACTGAACTATCTCGAACTTGATTAGTTTCAGGAATTAAGCTCGACTGGCTTGGACTAAACTAAGCCAAACTAATTTAGTGAACGTTTAATGCAGTATCGAACTAAGAAATAGGATAATAAAAATAATAAAAGTAATTCTTCTTTTTTCTTTTTCTATTTCTTTTTCCTGTTCTAGAACACTCCTAAAACCTCTCTTCCCTCTGCTTTTTTTATTTTCCGTCCAAACTACATACATTCCAATCATAGCTTTTCCTTCATTTCAATTGATAAAGCTCTCCGTCCAAATTTCACTACTTGCAACCACATCTTTCTCATCCATTTGAATCAATAAAGCTCCCAAAACACAAACAATAAAAATTTCAACTTCAATTTCAATCGAAATCGCAGCTACGTTCCTTGTATATCCAACAACGACACTCTGATTCCGGTCCTGACTTGAGTCTAGGTCGTGAACCAAGACTGACTAGTAAAAAATCTCACCTTCTCGAGGTTGGGTCGTGCAGATCGTCGTCGGCCCGGGCGAGCTTGAAGGTAAATCGATTGCAGCCAGAATAGGATCTTCCTCTAAGGTTTTCACCACAGTCGGAGCTCCCTGCAGCTGCAATTTGGTTTTTGTTTTGCAGCTGCTGTGGCTTACGATCGAGTTGGCCATCTTTGCAAATTGAGGAGCCGAAGATGACGAGGACGTGATATGAGTTGTCAGTCAGAGATGAAGGACGCGAGAGAGAAGACGAGGATGCGAGAGATGTGGTCTTAGCAATCCCAGGACTAGCTAAGACCATTTAGAGAGGTCGGTAGTCGGAGCGAGTGAGAACTAAGCCCATTAAAACTAGTCCCTTCCAATAACAAACATGGGACTTCACTAGCTTTTAATCCAATCCAGTCCAGTGAGACTTAACAAAGTCAAACAAACGCACCCTATGGGGGCGTTTGTTGCGCCGGACTATCTCGGACTGGATTAGCTTCAAGGACTAAGCTGGACTGGCTTAGACTAGACTAAATTGGACTAACTTAGTGAAGCGTTTGGTGCAGTATTGGACTAAGAAGCTGGATAATAACAAATTCTAATATTATATTATTTAATATATAAATTATTAATATTTTATTATGATCTTATCTTTTTCTTCATCTTTTCCTACCATTTCCGTCCCACTCTTTTCCTCTTCTCTCATCGTCCCACCCTCTCCCTCTTTTTTCCTCTTAGACCTCTCAATTCATGTCTCTTTCTCATTCCTGGTCAAACTCCTTATTGATTCCAATCTCTATTTCTCTGTCCTCCCTCCCTCTCTAGCAATGCGTTGTTCGAATGGAACCTCACGGCTCCAATTTTCCCGACGAGTTGCAGGTTTCCCGATGTGTTTTCCGGCCAACCCTCGTTAAATTGGATGAAGTTAGCACCGCCAAAAAATTCATCACCATCCCTAGATCGAGATCTTAGCTTTGAATGCTCGAATATGTCATGGATTTGAAGAAGCCCAAACAGGCCGAGACTTCCAGGCCATTTTCCGGCCACATTCGACCACATTTTGGCCTCAATTCAGGTAAAATTGTAATCTTGTCACTCCCAGCTTCAATTTGGTATATTTTATATGAAAGTTGGTTGTGAAATGGATATGAAAGAGAGTCGGAAAGTTAATGATTGGTCTAGGTGACCGGAGATGATGAGGAGTCTGTCGGGAGTGGTCGTTGAGCATGACGAGGACGAGAAAGAGAGGATAGTCTTAGCTAGTCCCATGATTATTGGGGAGTCTCGCTCAGACCTCTTAGTGAAGGGTTTTGTCCATGCTAGTCCCCTTTAGTCTCATTAATGTTAGTCCCAGCATGGAACAAACACATTATTGGACTAATAGCTAGTCCAGTCCAGTCCAGTCCAACTTAGTGAGGGCAAACAAACGCCCCCTATAAAGACAGAGCTGAACAATATCACAAGGTTTGGCTAGATACAACCGATTTTTATCCTAATAGTTCGGCAGCCTTTTACCAAACCAAACCATACAAATTCGACAGAAACTAACCGAAACTGGCTAAAGCCAACCAGGTCCAAACACTTCGCAACCAGATCTCAAAATTTTTACTTTATCGCAAACCCAAATGTTACCATGTAAATAAAAATTAATCTCACAAATAGGAATACTGTGGAGTTTTTATGCAATAACAACAAAAGCAAGCTCTTCTTTGTGTGACCAATCCTTCCTTATTGTTCTTGCTTTGGCTCCCTAAGCTCTCAATGAAGGTATTGGTAAGAGCAGAATCACCAACAAACGAGGCCACTAAAAGAAGCAACGCCTGCAAAAAGTAACAAACTTTGAAGTTAAAAGAAATTTAAACAGATGACTAATGTTACATGTCCACAACATGGGACCCTTCAACTTTGAAGGTGGACATACGGATTGACTCAAGTAATTATTCGATTACTTGTTTGGGTTTATGGTATCATTTTCCAACAATTGACTACCCTTGTTGGTTAGAGCAGCAATCAATAACATAACATTGTGGACTGATGCAAATCAACAACCGTAACAAGGGAAGTCTACTGACAGATTAGAGATGTTGGATAAGATGACGAATCAGTCAAGGTGATATGTGTTGCCTACGATTCATAAGGAAATCTCAGAGGGACATGAAATCTGGTAAACAAAGATTCAACGTAAACTAATAGAGCATAACATTAGTGGATGAACATCAAACATTATAAATGACAACTCACCTCCCTCTTGCCCACATGCACAATATGGTTCTCGATGTCGGTGAAAGGTACCTTCAATTCTTGAAGAACAGACATTTCAAGGATTAGAGATAACGGTCTTACAACTAGATTGTCAGTCACTGTGAAGGTAGCAGGTCCTTTCAGAAATCCCTGAGCACTTTTATCTCTATCTTCATGAGATTTGGGATAAAAAACATTAAGTTTAACTGACTCCGCTGAAGCATAATCAGGAATACAGGACTTATCAGTAGTTAACTTAGACTTAACATAATAAAACGAAGCCTCCTTGATTCCTAACAGAGGGTTCTCATATCGAAAACCAGGTGCAAGCTTTGGATTGACCAACAATTCCTTGTGGAAATTTGACTTCAAGTACTGCTGATCAAGATCTTCGACACTCTTGTACAACTGATCGAGACAGCCTTTCCATGAAACATTCCGCATCTTTTCTAATATGAACCCAAGTGGGAGAGTCAAGAAACTGCAGAGTAGATTAACAAAATCCTCTTGTGCCTCTGCATAACAAACAATCTTCTTAGACTTGCTAACTACAAGCTTAAGACAAATGTTTTTCTCTTCCTCATTGATTGTGTCCCCATGCATTTGAGAATCAATCGATATTCCTTGACTGGAATGTACGTCTCCCAAACTTGGTATTGGTTCATTTTTCAGAAGAATTTCAGTCAACGGTGTCTTTGATACAAACGAATGCATAAGCAAATTCAAAGCCTGGAAAAAAAAGAAGACATCAATCTAGTTAGAAACCGCTTCTGTTGTTGTCGATGAAAAAAAAAATTTTGAAGGCGCACCCCACAGGAAAGAAGAAATACCTCCTGAACTCCCATATTGAAAGTCAACTCCTCCGTAGTTTTAAAATCTGTGACCCCTAGCTTCGAAAACAAACAAATGTTTGCTGCACCTACTGGGGAAATGACCTGTAAATCATCGGTAATTATCAGCCTGGGTCGCCCTTTCACAAAGACGCCTCCAAGTTGAGTATTATCCACTGGAATCTCAAAACAAAAGGAATAACCACAGGAAGGACAGCTGCCACTTTTATAATAGCTTAAAAAGCATCTAACACACCGAAAGTACCGTGTTGGCCTATCATTGTCAATTTTCAACTTGAGGTTCTTGCATTCAAGATCCGCAGAATTGCAGGGAAGTGACAACATATCTCTACAAGCATTTGATCGGAAGTTATGCACATCAAATTTCTCAACACTTTGAATCAAATTTCTCATACAACCTATTTTCACTGGTACTGAATCTTCAGCAAGCCTGACAATTCTTCCCATGGGCATTGTCAAGAAACTGAAGAGAACATCAATAAAATCGTCGGACTCTACGAAGATAACTTTGTTGCTTCCCCGGTCCACCAAGGCCTTCAAAGTAATAACATTTTTGAGATCCTCATTCAACACAGGCTTTTTTTCAGCCATGATTGAAAGAAAGTATGAAGTCGGATTGCTATCCTGTTGTTGAACAAATTCAGTAAGCAATTGTCATTTGTCACAAATATTTGTTGTAGGATAATGACAACCGAAATAAAGCCTGTCTAGTCCATGCTGGTGGAGAGTTGAAATGAAAATCGTTTCATTTTCACTTTGAAGATTTTGTTTTCATTTTTTCTTCCTTATTTCTAACCCTCTCGCGTCACTTTCCCTATATATTTTCCTCGTGTCTCAAGCACAAAAATGAAAATCAAGACCTAAAAACCAAACCAAAGGGCCCGCAACATGACGTTATTTTCTTTTTCTTTTTCATTTTATGTAATATAAACTTTTAAGTGTCAACCTTCCTGATAAAGGGAACCATTTTGCGTAGAAAAGCTTGGATTGATCACAAGAAATGGTATACGTAGTACTAATATAGGATCCAACATGTTAAAAAGTAAATAAGACAACAAATAAGAGGTTCTTAATTACCTTGGTTCAAAAACTCCTTCAACCTTCCAACATGCAAAATCTGAATATGTTACCCACAAACATTAATGAGAATCCTAACTCAACATCTCAAATACACTTAACCGTACCAGGAAATTAAAAAAAAAACATGAAACTTGAAGAACAAGCCTTTCTGGGTTGAATTGGCTAGCCGAAGTAATGGATGAAATATACGAAAGCACACAAGGAAGATCATCGAGTTTGGAGAGACAAAATAGTGCTAAAAAGTCAAGTGAGAGGAAATGCTTCGTTTTTTTTTTTGGAAACTTAAAGTGATTGCTTTGTTTCACAATATTATCTTTCATAACAGGAATGCTACAGTAGATTTGACATTATTGGTTAATTAAAAACCAAGTGCTAAATAGACTCTCTCAAATTAAAATTCTGCACCCTATAGAAAAAAAAATAATAAAGGGACTCTTCATAAACTCTATCAGTTCACAGCTTAACGTCAATTATCATGCCAAGTTTATAAAAATTTGCAAATAAAATATAAGATGACACAAAATTTGTAAATAGTCATACTTTTGAAAAAATCTCATTAACTTTCCATAAGGAGATGTTACCTAAAAGTAATAAAATTTTATATTTAAAATTTCAAAGCGTTGGAATCCAACTCCCTAGTTTCTTCATAGTTAAGGATTGAGATTGATACTTTTAAGTGGGATGTTTTAGATTAGATTTTTGTTAATGACGAGTTTGATTGTTTAATATGTGGCATAGCACTCGTATTAAAAAAAAGTAGTGCTTTTCACACACTCATTTTTACTTTGCACACATTTTTGTTAGTTTTTATCTATTGATCTTATTTAATTTATTTTATTCGACGACCTAAAATTAAGAGAAGTGCGTGAGAAGTAAAAATGGATATGTGGATTGCACCACACAGAAAAAATATATTGACATTGCATAACAAGTGCCCTTTTTGAAAAGCTAAGGCTAAAATTAGACTTGGCAATCGTGTTGTATTTGTCATATTCGTGTTGTTTTTGTGACATACATGATATCTTAATGGATCGTGTTGTGTCAATGAATTGATAATATGATACGACCCAAACTCAACCCGTCCATTCCCATTAAGAAAATATATTTGATTTCCATTAATAATCGAATGAAAAGCATCTTACTTGTCACATCTCCGGCCGGGACGGATCACTTCTCGGGCCCGCTCCACTACCGTAGCACGATATTGTCCGCTTTGGGCTTACCATTCCCTCACGGTTTTGTTTTTGGGAAGTCACGAGCAACTTCCCAGTGGATCACCCATCATGGGATTGCTCTAGCCCCCTTCTCGCTTAACTTCGGAGTTCCTACGGAACCCGAAGCCAGTGAGCTCCCAAAAGGCCTCGTGCTAGGTAGGGATGAGAATATACATTTAAGGATCACTCCCCTGGGCGATGTGAGATGTCACAATACTAAATTAGTATCTACACAACACATTAACATATTGTTTAATTAAAAAAAAGGAGAAATATCAAGGAGACTTTTGAAGTGAGATCGACATCAATTTATGTGTTAATATTATAAAATATAAGATAGCAGACTCTTCATAGACTCCCACTTTTGAGATATTCTCCCTAGCTTTTGACAAGGAGATGTTACTTAAGAATGGAAGTAAGAAACTTTTATATTTAAAATTTCAAAGTGTTGGAATCCCACTCACAATTTTCTTCCTAGTTAAGGATTGAGATTGATACTTTTAGGGAGATGTTTTAAGTTAGATTTTTGTTAACGCAAGTTTGATTGTTTATTATGTGGCGTAGCACTCGTATTAAAAAAAAAGTAGGTCTATTTAAACACTTCTTTTTATGTCTAGTACACTATTGTTAACTTTTATCTGTTGATTTCTTCAATTTATTCAATTGAATTGCTAAAAATTAAGAAGAGTATGGGAAAAATAGAAATAACTGTTGATATTTGATAATACCCCAAAAAAAGTATATGCAGACATTGAATGACTAGTGCCCTTTTTAAAAAGCTATAGCTAAAATGGTGGCCCATAACATGCACCTCTAGACTCATGGGTTTTTTTTTCTTTAAAATGGTGGCCCATAACAGACACAAAAAGGTTAGATTTTTAAATTCATGTTTTTCCCTTTTTAAAATGTATATTCTTGTACTGTTGATCTGTTTGGACTGATTCAGACTGAGTATTTTGCTTGATATGATTTAATTTAGTCTGAGAAACTACACATATTATTATAGCGTTGACACAGAACGCCGCGATAATTGTGTACTCGTGTTTTTAAAGTTGTTATAGCCATTACCTCAACAGAAAATAACCCAAACAACAGAAACAGGGGAAATTAAAAGAAAAAACCCAAAACCAAGGAACAAAGTCCAAAGTTTAAATTTAACAACAAATGCATCCTCGATCCCTAACGATGGTAAGGGATGATGCTTAATTATAGCAGAGTCGCCATGAAAGAAGCTACCTAAAAGTGGAAGTTTCAACTTTCATATAAGTTTTTCAAGCAACCAATTCCCAATGGAAAAGAATGACGATTGGAAAGCCTGATAATTGTCCCCACTGGAATTGTCAAGAAACTGAAGAGAACATCAACAAAATCATTACAGCTTGTATGTAAATAACTTTGTTCATCACATTGTTCACCAAGGCCTTCAAGCTTATAGTGTTCGAAGATGTATTAGCCATGGATTGTCGCAGAGAACAATTTCGGCTTTGACTTTGCCTTTTGTTTGAGCCGCAGGACGTATATTTGTTGCAAAGTGAACGGTTCCGATTAGGGCCCATGGGGTAAGTTGTTTACCTGGTTAAACAAGGAAAGAGCTTCAAAATACAAATTATCAACTACAAGAAAAGAAGTACATAAAACTTTGGGACTCTAGCAATGAACAACTCAAACAATAAAAAATGTATTACAAAGACACTAACCAATGTACTTTCAAGTTCATCTTAAAGTTGTCATTTTAACCAAGCTACTACTCAAGGTGTCATTTTAAAGTTATCTCAAAAGTATAGCCTCTAGTCAATTTTGAATTCCCTGCATCAAAATTTTGTAGAGCATTCCTACGAAATTTAGCTGAAGTTCCTCATCCGCAAGCGGTGAATTGCCTTGGTAGTTAGGGTTTTCCTCTTCAACCCACTACGGCGCCGGTTCCCCTTCTCTTTAGTGTAGATTATTGTAGAATATCACTTGTGTTAAAGTTTCTCGTCCAAACAAGAAAACTTTGGTACTAAGTTATGTACTCCACAGCAATGAAAATTAAATGCTATCAATCGTTACAATTATATCGCATTTGGCTTCTCAACAAAATCACATTTGCCTTCATTTGGAATTTAGATGATTTTAAGCGCAGATAATAACAGAAATAGCAAGGAAACTCATCTATTATCACAAACGAACAAGTTTTTCAAAAACACAATGTAAAAATGATATCATCCATATGAGAACCAGGTCAGTGAGCACTTGTCACAAATAGATTATCTGAAACTGGCAAACCCTAATTTTATCCGAAAAATCTTGCGAATAGTTCGGAGAGAGTTAAGTGTTAAAATGTAAAGTGATCGCTTTGTTTCACAACATTTTCTTTCCACTATTGAGTTTGACATTATTGTTTAATTAAAAAAAATAAAGTAAAATTAGGGAGGCCTCACCAATTTTTCTTTCCACCAGAATAGATGTTACTTGAAAGCAGAGAAATTTTTTAGTATGCCGAAAATATGGTTTAATACACCAAGTGTTATAGTTAAAAATTTTTGTTTAAGGCTCCAACCACTTGTTATGATATTTTGTGTACTAAATCGTGTTTTCAATACACTAAAAAATCTCTTCTAAAGCAGAAGTAATACAATTTTATATTAAATTTCAAAGCGTTGGAATCCAGCTCACTAATTTCTTCCTAGTTAAGGAATAAGATTGATACTTTTAGGCAGGATGTTTTAGGTGACAAAGCACTCGTGTTAATAAAAATGGTAAATTACAAAAAAACTATCTCAGTTATGGGTTGAACCACAATCTCATACCTCGTGTTTTAAACATTGTAAAGTGATACATGAACTTATGAATTCGTTGCAATGTCAGACATCTGTTAACTTTTCTATCAATTTGGCTGTTAAATGATAACGTGACCAGAGCAGGGCCCTCTCCTTTGCCAATTAGAATAAAAAATTAATTAATTAATAATAAATTATTACTTTTTTTATTTAACAATTAAACTTAATTTAAAAAAAAAAACTCTTAATTTAAAAGTTTGTATGATTTTATTTACTTTTGGGGATGATTTTGATGAAATGAAATCTGGGTGTGCAGGCTTTGTTGTTGGTGAGAACTCTCCGGCAGAAAGAATTCATAATTTATTTATAATTAATTAATTTTTTATTCCAGTTGGCAAAGGAGTGGGCCTTACTCCTGCCACGTCATCATTTAACAATTAAATTGACAAAAAAGTTAACGGAAGTCTGACATTGCAACGAATTCATAAGTTGAGATATGACATTGCAATGCTTAGAATACGAGGTATAAGATTGTGGTTTGATCCATAATTAAGGTAATTTTATGTAATTTAGCCTAAAAATATATATTGACATTCAATGACTGGTGCCCTTTTTGAAAAGCTGAAGCTAAAATGGACCAAAATGGTGACCCGTAACAGGCACAAAAAGGTTTGATCTTTAATTTCATGTTTTTTTTTTTCTTATTTGCCCTTGTTCTGTTGATGTGTTTGTACAGATTCAATCTGAGTATTCTGCTCGATATGTTAATATACATTCATCAAATTTAGTCTGGAAAACTTACACTTAACTTATATCATTATATTGTCGACACAGAACATCACAACAACAATGTATCCGTGCTATTATATTTAGGAGTTGAAATCTGAGGGATGAGGGAAGGGAAATAAGCACAATAGGTGGGGTGTGTGTGGGTGTGGAGGCGGTGGTAGCTGTCAGAGAAGGAGATGGGGTGGGTGTGAAAGAAAGTGGTGGAGGAAGATGGAAAAGATGAAGTCCTTAATCTCTATTTTGTTCAATGCCATGCGAGGTACAGGAATTGTCAAGGATGATGCAAGGAGACCATATTTTGTAGATCACATTTAAATTATTTCTCTAATAAAAGTAGGATCCACAAGTATAGAGCTAAACAATATCACGAAGTTCGACTAGATACAACCGATCTTTATCACAATACTTATTCGACAGAAACTAACCGGAACTGGCCTAAAGCCAACCAGGTCCAAAAGCCCTTCGCAAATAGATCTCAAACCCAAATGTTACCATATGTAAATAAAAATTAGTCTCAGACAAACAGGAATACTGTGGATTCCTATGCAGTAACAACAAAAGCAAGCTCTTCTTTGTGTAACCAATCCCTCCTTATTGTTCTTGCTTTGGCTCCCTAAGCTCTGAAATGAAGGTATTGGTAAGAGCAGAATCACCGATAAATGAGGCCGCCAAAAGAAGCAACGCCTGCAAAAAGAGTAACAAACTCTAACGTTAAAAGAATTTAAACAGATGACTAATCTTTGATGTCCACAAAATGGGATGTCTTCAACCTCCAAGGCTTCAACTTTGAAGGTCAACGTATGGATTGACTAAGGAAATCCCAAGGGACATGTAATCTGGTAACAGAGATTCCACATAAACTAATAAAGCATAACATAAGTGGCTGAACATCAACTGCCTGTACTAGCTAGTTTACCTGTCTCGAGTCAAATCTACGATTTTTCAATAGGGATCATTTCACCAACCTGATATTCTGTTGACATTTTCTAAATTGAATGTATGCTCTCGATTTTATGATAAACCAATGGCCTAAATTGTTAAAAGAACTTGCAAATCTGAAACCAACTGATTCTTTCAGTAAGGTTAACCAACCATTATAAATGACAACTCACCTCCCTCTTGCCCACATGCACGGTATGATCCTCGATGTCAGTGAAAGGTACCTTCAATTCCTGAAGAACAGAGATTTCAAGGATTGGAGATATCGGTCTTACAACTAGATTGTCAGTCACTGTGAAGATAGCAGGTCCTCTCAGAAATCCTTGAGCACTTTTATCTTTATCTTCATGAGATTTGGGATCCACAACATCAACTTTAACCAACTCCGCTGAACTATTATCAGGAATACAGGATTTGTCAGTAGTTAACTTCTTGTCCGCATAATAAAACGAGGTCTCCTCGATTCCTAACAGAGGGTTCTCGCATCGAAAACCGGGTGCAAGTTTTGGATTGACCAACAATTCCTTGTGGTAATTTGACTTCAAGTATTGCTCATCAAGATCTTGGACACTCTTGTACAATTGATCAAGACAGCCTTTCCACGAAACATTCCGCATCTTTGTTAATATAAACCCAAGTGGGAGAGTCAAGAAACTGCAGAGTAGATTAACAAAATCCTCTTGTGCTTCTGCATAACAAACAATCTTTTTAGACTTGCTAACTACAAGCTTAAGAGAAATGTTTTTCTCTTCCTCATTGATTGTGTCGCCATGCATTTGAGAATCAATCGATGTTCCTTGACTGGAATGTACATCTCCCAAATCCGGTATTGGTTTGTTCTTCAGAAGAGTTTCAGTCAAAGGTGTCTTTGATACAAACGAAAGCATAAGCAAATTCAAAACCTGGAAAATATAAATCAAGTTAAACACCACTTCTATTGTTGTTGATGAAAAAAAAATAATTGAAGGCACGAGAAAGAAATACCTCCGGAACTCCCATATTGAAAGTCAACTCCTCTGTAGTTTTAGAATCCGTGACCCCTAGCTTCGAAAACAAACAAATGCTTGCTGCACTTACTGGGGATATGACCTGTAAATCATCGGTAATTATCAGCCTGGATCGCCCTTTCACAAAGACTCCTCCAGCTTGAGTATTATCCACCGGAAAATGTATCTCCCTTGTCAAGGGACAAGTACAGGAAGGACAGAGGATATCTCCATAATAGCTTAAGAAGCATTTGTCATAGCACAGAAAGTACCGTGTCGGCCTACCATTGTCAATTTTCAACTTGAGGTTCTTGCATTGACAATCAGCAGCATTGCAGGGAAGTAACAACATATCTCTACATGCATTTGACCGGAAGTCATGCACATCAAATTCCTTAATACTCTGATACAAATTTCTCATACAACCTATTTCCATCGGTACTGAAGATGCACAGGCAAGCCTGACAATCCTTCCCATTGGCATTGTCAAGAAACTGAAGAGAACATCAATAAAATCACTGTTGGACTCAACGAAGATAATTTTGTTGCTTCCCGTGTCTATCAAGGCCTTCAAGCTTACATTTTTGCGATTCTTCGCACGCTTTTTTTCAGCCATGATTGAAAGAAAGTATAAGGTTGGCTTGCTATCCTGTTGTTGAACAAATTCAGTAAGCAATTGTCACAAATATTTGTTGTAGGATAATGATAACCGAAATAAAGCCTGTGTAGTCCGTGCTGATGTGAAGTTGTTTCCCTCCTTAAACATGAGAGAAGCTTCAAAATACAAATCAACTACTAGGAAAGAGAAAATCTTGCGGCAAAAAGAAACTTAAAAAAAAAAAAAAGCAATAAAAAATTTTTCCATAATATTTGCAGTAATCTTTTTTGAAGTTGTGTCCGTTTGATAACCATTTCAGTTTTAGTTAACGATAGTGGAGATATTCACTGGAAAAGTGTCGGAACGAAAATCATTTCATTTTCACCTTCAAGATTTCATTTTCATTTTTTCTTCCCAACACTCAGTCATATACTTTCCTCGTGTCTCATGCACAAAAACGAAAATCAAAACCCAACACCAAACCAAATGGCCCGCAATATCACGTTGTTATTTTCTTTTTTTCATTCTATGTAATATAAAATTTTGAAGTGTCAACTTTCCTAATAGAGTGAACCATTTTGTGCTTGATTACCAAGAAACATATGATCCAACAAGTTAAAAAGTAAATAAAACAATAAATAAAAGGGTTTTAATTACCTTAATTAGATGCAAAAACTCCTTCAACCTTCCAACATGCAAAATCTGAATATTTACCAAGAAACAAAATCAGAATCCTAAAGTCCTCATCATCTCAAGTACACTTGACCATAAAAAAAAAAAAAAAAAAAGAAGTTTGAAGATCAAACCTTTCTGGGTAGAACTTGCGAGCCAAAGTAAATGGATGAAATCAATAAAAACACATCATCGAGTTTGGTGGAGAGAAAGTAAAGCGAGTGTGGCCCCATCATTTTCGAAGAAAGTAATGCCCTTGAATGAAAAGCTAGGAAAGAGATCTTCTCCAGCGTGATCTGGACCTTTCAAATTTCATTTACCGATAAAAAATTATTATATATTTTAAGAGATCAAAACAGATGGATTATTAGATGAAATTTCAAAGGCTTAGATCATTTAATCCAATAGTCTTGGAAAAGATGAGGATCTCTGTCCAAAAAGCTAAAGCTAAAATGTTGACCTATAAGAGCAACTTCACCCTTAAAAAAATGAGCTGGTCCAAAGTCCATTTAATCCACTTAAATGAATAATAATTGACTCCATTCAATAGCCATTATTTTGAATTTCAATTTTTTTTTACAGTTGGAAATCCAACGGACACAGAGGCACCACTTATCCCTACGCCAGAGTCCCACCTACACAGTGGGCCCCACCTCTGAAACACTGTCGGCAACTCGCGCCCACGCGCGTGTGTTTTCCATGCGCCTGGTGCAAAAAAAAGATTTCACGCAGCTGACGTCAACCTGGCGTCATGTAGGCCGATCTTTTGCTCAGTCCATTATGTGCTGGGCTCAAAGCTGGCCTCCACTTTGGGCCAGCCTATTGGGTGGGGTGGAAGGGGTTTTTGGGAGGACTGGCCTTAAAAATAGGCTTTGGGATGACACATTTGTAAGGAGTGGAAGTGCTCGAACATGAATAGATTTTTTTAGTGTGCCTAGAACATGAAACGAAATACTACATGCTTTTATATATTGGAGGAATGTTTTTTTGAAGTGCCTCTCCAATTGTACAACGAAATGCGATGTTCCGCTCTATATTCTAAGCACACTGAAAAATCTTTTCATAACATGCACCTCTAGACTCATAATCTTCTTATGTTTGTGTATTACTTTAAGTTGAACCTGATTTCTGGTTCACACAAAAAGGTTTGAACTTCCATAATTTTTTTTTTTTCTTTCTGAAATGTATATTGTCCTTGTACTGTTGATCTGTTCGGACTGATCCGGTCCGAGTGCTCTGCTTGATATTTTAATATACATTCATCTAATATACTATGAGAAACTTACACATAACATTATATCATTAACATATAAAGTCATGGTATCAATGTACCGAGCTATTAAAGTTGTTCTTGCAATTACCCCAACAGATAATAACCCAAACAACAGAAACAAGGGAAATAAAAAGAAAAGAACCAGAACCAAGGAACAAAGCAACAAATGCATCCTCGATCCCTAACGAAGGTAAGGGTTGGATGCTTAATTATAGCAGAGCCTCAAACGAAAGAAGCCACTATAGAAAGCCGGCAATGGAATCACATATTCTGGTCCGATCTACTGAAATATATCCATGGTTTGGAATGCTTGTGTTTGACAACTTCATATGAGCAAGCTATTCTTAATACTACGCACCAATTAACATATTGGCTTTGGTTCAAGTTTGTAGCAAGTCTAGCGACAGAAGCATCGCCACATCATATTAGCAAACCGAGCAATTCGACTGATACAACCCGCACCATGGTGCATAGGCTTGTAATTATTTGAAATGTAGTTGTGGCCTTATCTGTTCACTACCAAGTGTTATCCCGTTAGTGTTTGAAATTGGAATTGGCTCATCCGTTCAAGTTGCAGATTGCCGGTACTTAATGACATTCTTTCGTTGATGGCTAAGGAATACACGAGTGAGAGCAGAACCAAATCGAAGAGATGTCACCAAAAGACGTAAGGCCTGCAGCAAGTAACAAAACAGGAGACAACAGTTAAAACGACGAGACATATAAACTGAAGCTTTAAAAAAAAAAGCATGGAAGATGCAAGAGCAGTTAAATGGAAGTGTAACCAAATGTTGAGGACTCAAGGTTACCTCCTCCCTGCCAACCTTATAATTTTGCACCTTCATTTCGTTCAAAACAGAAATTCCAAAGAAAGGAGATATAGGCCTTACGATAAGACCATCAGTTATGTTGAAAATCATCGGTCCATTTAAAGATCCTTGAGCACTTAAATCACCTTGAGATTCTTGCAATGAGACTCGGCCCCATTGCAGGGATGTAGCAACATCTCTCTACATGCTTCAGTTTGAAAGTGACGAGCATCAGCATTACCAACAATCTAAATGGACAAGAACTAGTATCTGCACGCTCCCCACGTGGAAAAAAATTTGGGTATGACCTAAACACCGAAACCACTACCTGGATTAAATACTATTTTCCAAAGTATAAAATTAGTGTTCACTTCATGTTATAACACGTGGATTAAATACCAACTGATGGTATTAAGATGAAACTAGTACATTCGAACTTGCACACACACACGCAAACACCAATCTCAAGTCTGCATAATCATGAAAACATTACGGTCCTGTTTTGAAACAAAATCATCGTATCCTCTTCATCAAATGTAACCAAGCTCTGGTTATTCTTGATATGGCTCGCTAATGAAGGCATTCGTTAGGGCAGAGTCAGAAGCAAAAGAAGCTACCAAAAGACTCGGAGCCTGCAAACAAATAAGGAATGTTTCAGGAGTCTTTAGCAAGCTTTTTAATTAGTTTCCGAAATTCATTAAAACTTTGATTAGAATAAATCAACTGTCTTTGCCAAATGGCCTAAAGTGCTTAAAAGATCATGCTAATTAAAACCCAGAATTCTGTTGGTAGAGGTAATTGAAAAATATAACTGATAACTCACCAACTTCTTGCCCATAAGCACAACTCTTTCTTCAATGTCAGTGAAAGGTACATTCAATTCGTCAAGAACAGACAGCTCAAAGATTGTAGATATCGGTCTTATGACCAGATTGTCAGTTACTGTGAAAATCGCCGGTCCTTTTAAAAATCCTTGAGCACTGGAGTTGTGATCTGTGGGTTCGATTTTAAATGACTCCGATGACCTATTAGAATGGATAAGGGAACTATCAGTAGTTAGCCCACTGCCAAGATAATAATATGAGGCTTCCTCAATTCCTAAAAGACTGTTGTAGCAAAAACCAGGAACAAGCTTCGGATTGAGTAGCATTTCCTTGTGATGATTTGACTTCAAGTATTGTGCATCGAGATCTTGGACACTCCGGTACAACTGATCAATGCATCCCTTCAGAGACCCATCCTTTATCTGCTTTGTTACAAACCCAAGTGGCAGAGTTAGAAAACTGAAGAGTAAATTAACAAAATCCTCCCCGGCTTCTGCGTAGCAAACAATGTTCTTAGATTTGCTAATTATAAGCTTAATAGAAATGTTGTCTTCTTCCAACAGCACCGTCTCTCCTTCTGTTTGCGGATCAATGTGTACAACTTGATAATTGTTGTCATGGTTCAGTTCGGCCACAGGTTTATGATTCAGTAGAGTTTCGGTCAATGGCGTCTTTGATACCAAGGAGCTTATAAGCAAATTCATAACCTGGGAAAAAAAATCGCTTCAGAAATTGCGATTGTAATTTTAACGAAAAGTTAATTAAGGTACGCATAAATCAACAACTGAGAACCTCATCAACTCCAATATTCAAATTCAACTCCTCCGTAGTATTCCTATTGGTGACTCCAAGCTTGGTAAATAAAGAAACGATTGATGTGCAAAAAGGGGAGATCAGTTGTAAATCATCGGTAATTAGAAGCCTGGCTCGCTCTTTTACAAAGGCGCTTGCATCATCCACCGAAAGTGAAATCTCCCGATGCCTGGTATCCATGCACCCTACACACAAGAGACCTGGGTAGTAACTAAAGAACTTACTTGTGGCTGTGTCCAGGCAATAACGAGAGCATACAAAGTACTGTGTTGGCTTGGCATTGTGATCAATTTGCAATACAAGGTTCTTGCAATGAGATTCAGCCGCGTTGCGGGGAAGTAACAACATTTCTCTACATGCATCTGACCGCAACTCACGTGCGTCAATTTCCTCCACACTTGAATACAAATTGTTAATGCAGCCGATTTCCACTGGTACTGAATGCTCACGACCAAGCTTGATTATTGTTCCCAAGGGGATTGTCAAGAAACTTAGGAGAACATCGACAAAAGCATGGTCGGACTCTATGAAGATAACTTTGTTGCTCCGCTTATCCACCAAAGCCTTCAAGTTTATCTTGTTCTCCATGGTTGGACTAGCTATGAATTGTTAAGAGGTTGCTTTTTTTTCTTTTTTTTTTTTTAATCCCTTCTCTGAAGAATTTCAGTAAGTAAAGTGGCAGAAGCTATTTCCTGCTGAACACGACAGGAGCTAATGAGAAATAAAAATTTGCGGTATTAAGTTTCATAAGTAGGCAGAGGTTACGCGGATAACAAACATGATTCATATCTAAACAACCTGAATGCAGCAATTAATTGTAAACTCCACCTCCTACAACTGATAAGTGATGAATTGGAACGTAGAACAAAAATAATACGATTTCTAGAAGCAGTTATGACAGAGACTGTACTAAATTCCAGGTTGGTATTAACATAATACGTATCAAGCAGATTGAATCAGTCCAGACAGATCAACATTACAAGTACAATTAAAAGTTAAAAACATGGAATTCAAATATCAACCTTTTTGTGTAAAACTGTGAATCTGAAGTAATGGGTGAAGGTAATGAGAAGACAAATACTTATAAAACAAGCTCAGCTTAAAGTAATACACAAGCGGAAACACATTATTAGCGTAGAATGCGTAGAGAGACAGTAAAGCGGCGATTACTGAAGTTTGGGGGCAAGAGGTGCATGTTATGGCCCAGCATTTTAGCCTTTTGCTTTTGAAAAAGAGAATTACTCGAGTGTTAATAGCATCTCTAAACTTAATATAAGATTAATTACTTCCAATTCCAGCTAACGAGGTGTTGATAGCAACTCTAAACAAGATATCAAAGGCGAGAACTTGTCTGCCTCGCCCTCACGGAAGTTTTATAGTGACACTACTATGTTGTGTTATTAATCAACATGTTATAATACGAGTGAATTGATAATAAAACGTGAAAGTGTGATGGTACCAGCGAAAAATTACTCAGCATCATCGTAAATTTTCACTGACTGTGCCTCTAATCAGTGTGGACCAGAAAAGTTCGTGGCTTCTACTGTTAAAAAAAATACCCGTCCAGAATAAAACAAGGATTACACTTCTACGCGGTCACTGATTCTCAATTAACCGATCTCACGCTCACAGTGATGAAAATTCAAAAAGTCCTTGCATTTTCACCACCATTAGGTTGATCGCGTCACTGATGCTCAATTAAAAAAAGGACCATTGATCTCGCAGTGATGAAATTGCAGAATGGAGCATCACAGTGACCTTCTAATTGAACAACAAACTGATAAGATCGGTCAAACAAATGAATAATACAATCCGTATAAATAAATAAAACCCGCATTAGATACCGAGAGTCAATAATCAAACAAACCTTCACTAAAATATCCTTAAGTAATATCTTTAAGCAACTAGTATTAGTATGGTGCCATTAATATACATAGCACACCGACATAAAGAAGTGCAGACGCTGTACTATCCATCCAGTTCCAGTTTATAGAAACAGAAGAAGCATCACCATCATGCATTAGATAACCAAGCTCTGTTTAATTATACACATTGTATATGATTAATCGTTCTTTGGCTGCCTAAGAAAGACGTCAGTTAGAGCAGATTCGCCTAGAAAAGAAGCCACCAAAAGATGCAAAGCCTGTAACAAGGAACAACATAAGAATCGACACCCATTAAAATTGACGAATTAAGGTACCTTTGTCAATAAGTAATGGCCAAAATTTGAATCATTAACTCACCTCTTTCTTGCCAACCAGAACACTTTCCTCCTTAATGTCAGTCAAGGGTACAGTTAACTCGTTCAAAACCGAAAAGCCAAAGAGAGGGGATATAGGCCTTATGATCAGCTTGTCAGTTATCATGAACACTGTCGATCCTTTCAAATACCCATGAGGATTTTTACTGTCCAGCAATTTGAGTGGAACCGTCACTGCAATGGAAGGGATTAGTTTTTTATCTGTTGTTAATATATCCCGCAAATGTCCCTCTTCATTCCAAAATGCATAATAATATGAGGCTACTGAGCCATCCTCGACTCCCAAAAGATAGTTCTCGTAGCAAAAACCAGGATAAAGCTTGGGATTTAGTAGAATATGTAGAATTTGATGTATATTTGCTTGATTGAACAATTACAAGATGAAACATATATATAGGAAAGAAAAAGAACATAAACCTAATTTTGCCTAACTTGCCTAACTTGCCTAACTTGACTAACCTAACTTGCCTAACTTTGAACAAGAAAATTGACTAGCCTACCATTATTCCAACATGTTTATTTCATGCATTTTTACACAAGGATTCCAACCTAACTTTGTTTGTCTAACACTCCCCCTCAAGTTGGAGAGTGGATGTCAAGAACTCCCAACTTGCGTAACATACCCGAAAACTTTTCTTTCCCAAGAGGTTTGGTAAACAAGTCTGCCAACTGTTGTGCCGTACCCACATGCTTGGTCTCTATTGTGCCATCTACAATCTTATCTCGTATAAAATGACAATCCATCTCAATGTGACGAGTTCGTTCATGAAAAACAGGATTGGCAGCTATATGTAACGCTGCTTGATTATCACAAAATAAAATGGAAGGACCATCCAAAGGAATGTTCAAATCCTTCAACAAAAAACGAAGCCAAACTATCTCGCAACAAGCACCTGCCATGGCCCTATATTCCGCCTCTGCTGAAGAGAGCGAAACGGTTTTCTGTCGTTTCGTCCGCCAAGAAATCAAAGAACCGCCCAAGAATACACAATACCCAGTAGTCGAACGGCGAGTGATAGGGCAACCTGCCCAATCAGAATCACAAAACGCAGTTAACTTGGTCTGGTTGTCAGAACGAAATAATAAACCTTGACCTGGAGTAGCCTTCAAATAACGAACAATACGAAGCGCAGCATCCATATGAGATATCCTTGGCTCGTGCATAAAACGGCTTAGAACATGCACAGAATAAGTGATATCCGGCCGAGTGATAGTGAGATATATTAACCGACCTACTAATCGTCGATACTTTTCAGGATCCTTGAGAAGTTCTCCTTTATCAGATAATTTTGTGTCATCCATAGGAAAAGCAATGGGTCGTGCTCCCAAAAAACCATAGTCCTTGAGAATCTCTAATGCATACTTGCGTTGAGAAATATAAATCCCTTGTTTGGAACGAGAAACCTCAATACCCAAAAAATATTTTAAATCACCAAGGTCTTTTATCCGAAAATGATCACGGAGAAAAGACTTCAGAGAATTAATGGCACTAGCATCATTGCCTGTAATCACAATATCATCCACATAAATAAGCAAAGCTGTGAAAGAAATACCAGACTTTTTAGTGAACAATGAATAGTCAGCTTTGGATTGTTGAAAACCGGCAGAAATGATGGCACTAGTGAATTTGGCAAACCATTGGCGAGAAGCCTGCTTAAGACCATAAAGTGACTTGTGAAGGCGACACACAAGATTCTCCCCCTGTCGCCGAAGACCAGGAGGAGGAGACATATAGATTTCTTCATGTAAGTCACCATGTAAGAAAGCATTATTAACATCAAGCTGATGAAGAGACCAAGACTGACTAGCAGCAAGAGCAAGAAGACAACGCACCGTAATCATCTTAGCAGTAGGAGAAAAAGTGTCATGATAATCAATACCTTCAGCCTGAGTGAAGCCTTTAGCAACCAAACGAGCTTTGTAGCGGTCAATAGAGCCGTCGGATTTGTGCTTGAGTTTGTACACCCACTTACAACCAATGGGAATTTTGCCAGGGGGCAAGGAAGTTAAAGTCCAAGTACCATTAGCATGTAAAGCTTGAAGCTCCTCAGTCATAGCACGTTGCCAATTGGGGTCAGTGGCAGCCTCGGCAAATGAGGAAGGCTCCACAGTCCGACTGACAGAGTTAATGTAAGAAAAATGTCTGGGAGAGTAACGGTGATAAGAGAGAAAATTACAAAGTGGATATCGCGTACCTTGTGTAGAACCGGGTTGCGAAGTCGAAGATGGGTGGGATGGCAGAATCACCTGCGAGCAAACGTAGTCTTTTAAATAGGATGGAGGTTTATGGGCACGGGAAGAGGTGCGGGGAAGGGGAGGATTGGTAGGTAGTGGGGGGGTAGGGATGTCCGTGGGTAAAAGGGTGAGAGGTAAGGAAGTAGTGGGGGGGGAAGGAGGGGATGCCGAGAGGGCAGGGGCATGGGGAGGAACAGGTAATGGGGCAGCAAGGGAATCTATGGGAGGCGTGGAAGGGGAGGAAGGTGGAGGAGGGTGAGGCGTCGGGGCAGGAAGGGGTGGGTTATATGTAAAGTCCAGAGGAGGTGGGATGGGTAGGGTAGGCGAAGAGGATGGGATAGGAGGGTGAGAAACGGCATAAGGGAAAGTACTTTCGTGAAAGATGACGTCTCGACTAGTGAAAATGCGGTGATTGTCGAGATCGTAAAGGGTATAAGCCTTTTGTCCATGAGGATAACCGAGAAAAATGCAACGATGAGCCCGAGGGGAAAATTTGGTGGTGGGAGTGACAGAGGTGGCATATGCCAGACAACCAAAGACGCGGAAGTGGTCATAAGATGGGGTTTTCGAAAAGAGAACCTCAAATGGGGATTTATGATGGAGAAGACGGGTAGGGAGACGATTGATGAGATAAGTAGCGGTAAGAACACATTCCCCCCAAAACTTGATAGGAAGATGGGATTGAAAACGAAGGGCGCGAGCGGTTTCAAGAAGATGACGATGTTTTCTTTCAACAACGCCATTTTGTTGGGGGGTATAAACACAAGAAGTTTGTAAAAGCACCCCATGATCAGAGAAAAAACTACGAAGAGATAAAAATTCACCACCATTGTCAGTACGAATGCATTGGATGGTAGTGCGGAATTGGGTAGTGACATAGGCAAAAAAATCCTTAATTAATTGTTGAGTGTCGGATTTATGTTTCATGAGGAAGACCCACGTAAAGCGAGAAAAATCATCCACAATGGATAAGAAATAATTAGCACCAGAAAGAGAAGATTGACGATTCGGGCCCCAAATATCACAATGAATTAAAGCAAAAGGGGAAGTTGATGAAATTGAACTCAAAGGAAAAGGTTGACGAGTTTGTTTTGCCAACGGACAAACATCACAAATATGACTAGAATCAAAAGTGCAATTAAGAGAGCTAGATGCTAAAGCTTGCAAACGAGTGGAGGAGGGGTGACCTAGACGCCTATGCCAGAGGGAGGAGGGGATGGTAATGATGTTGCAGAGAGGTTGACGGGTGGGGAGAGAAGAGGTAAGGGCCACAAGGTAATACAGATCGCCACGTCGCTTACCCACACCAATCATCGCCTTCGAAACCAAGTCCTGCAAAACACACCAAGAAGGAAAGAAGGTTATGGAACACGATAATCCATCTGTAAGTTTACCAACCGATAAAAGGTCCACTCGGAAATTAGGGACACATAAAACATCCTTCAAAGTAACTGAGGAATTTAAAGGAAGAGTGCCGGTAAAAGTAATGGGAGCGGAAGCACCACTAGGCAAAGAAACAGGCGGCAAATGTGAAGGAGAACGATTAACCAAACATGAAGCGGAAGAAGTAATATGATCCGTAGCACCACTGTCAAGAATCCATTGACCATGACGAGAGGTGACAGGTAACAAACCCTGGGAAAAATCAGTAGTGAGTACGGCATTGGCCTGAGGAGAGGTGGTGGTGTCACGTAGAGCAGCTAGAACACGGGAGTGCTGCTCGGCAGAGAGGTCAGGCATGGCAAGCTGCAAGTCATGTAAAGTGGGCTGGGTCCCGTGCACTTGGTGGGTCGCTGGAGTAGAAGAGGAGGCGGGGGCCTGGGTGCCTTGCACGTGATGGGCCTGGGTGAAATTATGGGGCCGGGAAGCAGAAAACCGTGGCTGCTGGGGAGGACTGGAAGGTGCATGGCTGCGGGAAGAACTGGAAGCAGTGGCACGGCGCGGTGGTCGCCACGGTTGGCCATGGAGGGGATGGCCAACGGGATAGCCATGAAGTTTATGGCAGGTGTCTCGGGTATGATAATCAAAATTGCAGTAGGTGCAGTGGAGGGGAGGACGAGCAGAGGAGGGACGGGACGGGCCACGAACAGCCATGGGAACGGCAGAGAAAGCTGCCGAAAAAAAAAAAAAATTAGGGCTAGGGTTATAAACCTGCTCTGTATACCATGTAGAATTTGATGTATATTTGCTTGATTGAACAATTACAAGATGAAACATATATATAGGAAAGAAAAAGAACATAAACCTAATTTTGCCTAACTTGCCTAACTTGCCTAACTTGACTAACCTAACTTGCCTAACTTTGAACAAGAAAATTGACTAGCCTACCATTATTCCAACATGTTTATTTCATGCATTTTTACACAAGGATTCCAACCTAACTTTGTTTGTCTAACAGAATATCCTTGTGGTAATTTGACTTCAAGTACTGCTCATCAAGATCTTGGACGCTCTTGTACAGCTGATCAATGCACCCCTTTGAAGAGGCTTCTCTCATGTATTTGACTACAAATCCAAGTGGAACAGTCAAGAAACCGAAGAGTAAATTGACAAAATCCTCTTCTGCTTCTGCATAACAAACAATATTTCTTGACCTGCTAACTGTTAACTTAACAGAAATCCTTTTTTCTTCTTCCTCAATCAGGATCATCTCTCCTCCAAGCATTAGAGATTCACTACGTATTCGTTGATTAAGATTTGCATTACTTAATAACTCTTGTTTGGGATTGTGACCCAATAGAGTTTCTGTCAATGGTTTCTTTGATACGAATGAGCGCTTAATCAAATTCAGAACCTGGAGAAAAAGACATGAGGTGAGAAACACAAAACTACAGGTATAACAAAAATAAAATAAGTGCCAACAACGCTCAATTACCTCATTAACTCCTACATTCAAAGTCAGTTCTTCGGTAGTACTATTCTCACTCAAGACTCCGAGCTCCATAAACAAGGGATTGCTTGCTACAGATAATGGGGATATCACATGTAAACCATCAGTTACTATGAGACCACCGAATTCGTTGACAAAGATGCCCCCATTTTTCTCACAAGTGGATGAACCTGAAAGTCTGCACTTCACATTCATGTATGCTCCACACTGACAACGGACACCTTTGTAGTGACTTAATAACTTATTGTCAAAGGTGCATTGCCAACTGTCACACAGAAAGTACCCCGTCGGCTCATCATCATCAATCTTCAGTTTGAGATTTTCGCAATGATGTTCAACCCCACTGTGGGGACATAGCAACATCCTTCTACATGCTTCAGTTTGGAGATGCTGAACATCAATTTTTTCAACACTGGCGTACAAATTGCTCATGCAACCTATTTCCATTGGTACGGAATGCTTTCTGGTATTTCTGACAATTGTTCCCATTGGTATTGTTAAGAAACTAAATAGAACGTCGATAAAATCATTGTCAGACTCTATGAAGATAACATTGTTCCTCTCCTTGTCCACCAATGCCTTCAAGCTTATGATATTCCTTGCAGTTTCATCAGCCATGGATTGTAAGAAAGGATATATACTCTCGTCTTTTTTAACCTTTCTTGGTACAATGGCAGTAAGCAACTGGAACAAATAAGCTACATACGGTGAAAGATTAAAGGTTACAGAATAAATCATTCAATAATTACACCCTTAAGGTACGTTCCAGCATATAATTTTCGAATTACTACCGATACGTGTGATGAAATATGTACAATACAAAGATGAGTAACAATTAATTTTCAGATGAATATATTAAATATCAAGCAGAGTACGCATAAAACACAGTGCAACAGCTCAATTCCAAATTACATTAGAACAAAAAATAAAGCATGGAAGTCATTGTACAAACCTTTTTCGGCAAAATTGCCAAAGAAAGGACGAGGGTAATGAAAACAGACTTAAGAAAAGGGTATGCTGAAAGTACTATAAGCAGAAAATGGTCACGACTCTGGAAAGACCGTAATTAAAGTGAGGATCACTTGAGGGGGAGTGCATACAAAGGGCCAGCATCTTTAGCTTTTGAAAAGAAGTATTCATTACTTGACTAGGAAGAAATTTATGGTTTCATCGGACCTGCAGATTCGAAACTATAAAATTAAGTATAGCATTATGTCTTTAACCTCCAGCTAATCAGGTGTTAACAGAATCTCCAAAGGAGACATCGAAGGCAACCAAATTTTGGTTAAATTGGGTATGTAAAGAGATATTGATGCATTTGATAGCTGACTGTGACTACAGCTGACAAGGTCTACTGAATTACGAAAAATACAATTGAAAAAAAAGAAGAAGAAACCTGCATTAGATATAGAAAGTTAATAACGAACAAACGTTCATTAAATATGTATTATACATACAAGGAAAGTTCAACCTCTTCTAGATATTGAACCCATGATTTCTAATTAAGCTACTACTAGCATTGATATCCATATCACTAACATAAGGAAATGGAGACAGAAGAAGCACTAGATAACAAAACTATCTTTGTAGACTTTATTGCTAATTGGCGCCTGCCTGATGAAGGCATCGGTTAGAGCAGAATCGCCAAGAAAAGAAGCCACCAAAAGATGCAAAGCCTGCAATAAGGAACAACACGAGAATCATCACCATTGAAATGGACAAAGGTGCAGTGAAAGTGGCAAGACTAGATCGCATCCGATGGCCAGAATCAGAAAGACAACAAAAAGTACGATAACTCACCTCCTTTTTGCCAACCTGAACAGTTTCCTCCTTTATGTCGTTCGAGGGAACCTTCAATTTTTTCAAAACATAAAGGCCAAAGACAGGAGATATAGGCTTTGTGGCTGATCAGTTCGTCAGTTACCATGAATACTGAAGATCCTCTCGAAAACCTCTGAGATATAGGCTTCACTGCATTCGAAGGGATGAGGGACTTATCAGTAGTCGAAATATAACTGATGAATGCACCCCGGAAAGAAGTATCCTTCGCATGTTTAACTAGCAGACCAAATAGAAGAGCCAAGAAGCTGAAGAGTAAATTTAAAAAAAATTCTCCCCTGCCACATGTTTAACATGCCATTTCCCGAATTAAACATCAATTACTCCCTCTGCCTTCGTGGCCCAACAGAGTAGAATTTTCTACTCTCCTATTCCAACTCCCTTTGTCTACCTCGTCTTGCACATTATTTTTTGTTTTATTGTCTCTATAAAAAAAATTACATAAAATATTACCGTGATTTCACCGTAACTATAGGAGAGAAGGGAAGAGGAGAGAATCCTCCTCCTGACCCGACCTTGATCTCCAACACTCTCGGCGTTGTTACACTAGTGATGTGTGTCAAAACAATCGAAAAGAAAAAAAAAAAAGCGCTACACATGCCACATTCTCGTAATAAAATATATGTAAAAATAAGGCCTTTTGGCTGAAATAATTTAATTTCAGCTCATAATTGCTTAACTGATCAGTTTCGGGCATGTTTGGTATCCTATTTGAAAGTTTTTTATCATTTCTCAAAATTTTTCTTGAAAATAATTTTCTTTAAAACTAAAAAACTTAATTGGTTTACAATTTAAAATTTTTAAATCTTACGACTTTAAACAGAGAGATCTAAAAAGAAATGGTTGCAAGAGAGGGAGAAAGAAGAGAGAGGCGGAAAGAAAGTAAGGTTGATTGAATGAAAGAGAAATAAGAGAGGATCAAACGAGATAGAGAGGAAGATGAGTAAGAGAAATAACCGAGAGAATGAAAAGAGCGGATTGGAGGAAAGACGAAAAAGGTAAAAAAAAAAAAAAGAGGAGAGAGAAAGAAGAAAAGAGAGATAGTTTTGGAGTGAGAGGGGAGGAGAGAGAAAAAAGAAAGGAGTGATTTTAAGTTTAAAAACTCACTTTTTATATTTTTAGAGAATATATTATATTTTTTTAGTTAATCTTGAGTTTAGTTTTTGAAAATAACTATATCAAACAACTTCTTAAAACCTAAAACTTGAAAATTATTTTTGAATTTAAAATTAAGATTCAAGTAAAGTACTAAACATATCGTTGTTTTTTTATTTTTATCGACTGATATATCCTTGTTATTTCATAGAAATTTGTTCGATAGCCGAAATTTGACTCGGATGAATTCATTAATTGAGATTTGATTTTAGCAAAATAAAATAAAAATAAAAATTTAGAGAACAAAAGAAAAAATATAAATAAAAGGAATATAACATGGCCTCAAACAAGTACTCAAGCATACACTTGTTTTTTGACAGAAAAAAAAAAAAATTACACACTTGTTTTATAAGCACCGTGGTCTTCTTGCGCCGGTCTTCCGTTCGCCATTAGCATCTCTCTTGTGCCGAGAGACTTTTTGCGTTTCTCTACCAATCCGCGCCAACTGTAACTTTTTCACACTCGATTTACTCGTCACGCGCAACAATTTCGTTCATGAAAGCCCTAAGATTTATTCAATTTTTCCATTTTTTTACAGGTTTAAGCTGGGCTAGGGTTTTAGGGTCGCGAATCGGATTGGCAGACCGTAGAGAATCTCCAAGGTACCGAAATTCTCTTACTTTAACATGTTTGGCTGCTGAGAAAGTTTGGGAATAGAAATTTGGGAAGGAAAAGTTTAAATCTTTTGATATAATTGTTGTATTTAATCAGTTTGGACTTGGGAAAGTTGAAACCGCACTCATCTGAATCTGAAAACGAACGAAAAACTTGATTTGATTATATTATAAGCCTGCCTTGTTCTTCGCATCGGAAGGTTTGGGATTCTCGTTGTCTTTGTTTTAATGTGATTTTCTGGTTATTACCAAATGCTAATCGACTGATGGGTACATTTTGGATTTTCATGTATCCACTTGCATATCACTGGCTGTGTTCCCTGTTTTGTAAAAATGGCAAATTGCTTTAATGAGTTTGGTCAGTTTATTATGATTTGTTTTATAATTTTGAACCAAGTAATGCTGATGGAAAAATGAATGGTTCTTTATCTTCACCAAGGGCTCAATTTTTTTGCTCATTTGGGTTGATAGCATTGATGCACTAGGACTTGAAGCTGAATTGATAGGGCAGCATGGGATTTGATAATGAGTGCATATTGAACATCCAGTCTCTTGCCGGAGAGTACTTTTGTCCGGTTTGTCGTCTGCTTGTTTACCCAAATGAAGCACTACAGTCGCAATGTACTCATCTGTATTGCAAGCCATGTTTGACATACGTTGTGAGCACCACCCAGGCTTGCCCATATGACGGCTACTTAGTGACAGAAGCAGATGCCAAGGTCCTTCCTTATACAACCTTGGTTGTAGCAAAACCTTTATTCCTTGCTGTCTATTTATTGATAAACCTTGACACTAATTAATGCAGCCACTCACGGAGTCAAATAAGGCCCTCTCTGATACCATTGGCAAAATACTAGTTCATTGCTTATTTCACAGGAGCGGATGCACATGGCAAGGACCATTATCTGAGTGCACACCTCATTGTTCTGGATGTGCCTTTGGCAATTCTCCTGTAGTATGCAACCGGTGTGGAGTCCAAATTGTGCATCGTCACGTGCAGGAACATGCACAAACATGTCCCGTAAGTATTTTCGTTTGTTTTTTTGTTTTAATTTTCAATCCTTTGACTATCAGACTTAGTTGGTTTTTATGGTTATCTTTCAATAACAGGGTGTGCAGCCTCAAGCGCAGCAGGCAGAGGGTGCTCTACACACTTCAGCTTCTGGCACATCAGCAGCTACTGCTGATCAAACCCAGGCTGCAATTCAAACAGGAACAACTACATCTCAGGCCCCGGTTTCTCAAACTATAAGTGCCACTGCACCTGGATCTGATCCAAATCAGAAAGCAAACTCAAGTTCTCAAGCTCAAGTGGCCGTGCCGACTGCTGATCAATGGTACCAGCAGCAGCAACAATATCAACAGTACTACCAGCAGTACCCTGGATATGACCCATATCAACAGCAATATCAGAACTACTATCCCTATCAACAGCCAGCAGTTCCACTACAACAGCAGGCTCAGCCACCATATGGGACCATCCAGAATCAACCTCAGACATACTTGCAACCTCAGCCCCAAACTCAACCTCCGCCACAGCCCCAAACTCAACCTCTGCCACAGCCCCAAACTCAACCTATGCTACAGCCCCAAATTTCTCAAGCTCAAACTCAACCCCAAATTCAGCTTCCAAATGGCCAGGCTCCTGTTGTGGCTCAAACGCAAAATCACGTACAAGCCAACCAACAGCAGCAACTCCACCCGACAGTGCAGACTTACCCAGCAGCTCATGGGCAGACACAGCCATATTTCCAAGCTCCATCTCAGTCACAGCCTCATTCTCAACAGGTGCAAGTGCTTCCGTATCAGCAGCCCCAAATTCAGCAACATACCCAGGCCCATCTTCAACCGCAGCACCATCCCCTTTCTCAACCCCAATCTCAGTCACAAACTCAGCAACAGGCACAGGTTCAACACCATCCCCAACTTCACCCTTCTCAGCCCATGAATGTTGCTGTCCAGCCTCAGGCACAGCATCCACCATCTCATCCTGTGTCTGGCAATAACTCATATCCTCAACCTCACCTTCACCAACCAGTGCAACACAATATGTACGTGCAATCTCAAGGTGTGCCTCACTCTCAGTTGCAGACTCCTGTTCAAATGCAGAATCAGTTCCCTCAACAACCCCCACTCATGCGTCCGCCTTCATCTCATACAACAATTCCAAACCAGCAGCAGCCAGCTTTGTTGCCTTCAGCCGGTCAAGTCCAAAATATCAATCCTGCACAGCAGCAGCCAGTTCCCTCTTATGCTCAGCAACCTGGAAATTCAGTCTACCAGCGCCCTATTATGCAAGCAGTTCAACAACCGATGCCTCAGCAGTATTTCCACCATCAGCCATATGTACAGCAGCAACCATCTACACAGTTACGTCCCCAGAGCCAATCTCATCCATTCCCTCAACATATTCATGCCTCTACACAGTCTCAGCAGAACATTGCATTGTCTCAGGGCATTCAACATACTCAGTCTAATCTTGTCGGAAGACCTATGATGCCAAGTCATGGAGTACAACCTCAGCCTTACGGACAAACTGCTGTTCAGGTGAGGCCAATACATTCTTCTGTAAACCATCCATCTACAAATCAGAATAATATGGTCAGATCAAACAACCCAGTGCAATCTGGAGCAAACTCGAGACCAACTATGTCTGAGAGGCAAGCGGAGAAAGAATCTGAGTCATCAGGTCAGAATGTTGCACATGATGCCGAATTTAAATCTGTGAAATCTGAGATGGGTATGAAGTCCGTTGATGATGAGCATAAACCTACTGGTGAAGTTAAACCTAATCAGGGGGATACATCTTTCAAGGAGATTCCAGAGTCTAGGGGCTTGCCGGGGCCAGATCCAGATTTACATGCACTTGATAATGGAGACTCTGTAAATATCCCAATGTTGAAGGAAGAGGGTGTGGATAGTGCTATGGAGCACTCAAGTAACGGTAAATTGGGTGAAGTAGCTGAGGGCGCACAAGAAATCCCATCGGAAGAAGCTCAACTTCATGAAGAACAGGGTCGAAGGTTGCAGAAGAATGCTAGTGGCATTCTGCAGCCTTCCAATGTACAAGTACAAGCTGGCGGGGGTTCTCAAGCTGTATCTACTTCAGTTCCAACCGTTCAAGTACAAGCTGGTGGCTCTACACAACCTTCACATCTTGGACCAATACATCATGGACCTACCCTACTCTCCCAAAGGCCTGGTGCACCTCCGCATCATACACAGGGGCCTGGGCACCCCTTGGCTCATTTAAGACCTCAGGGACCTGCACATGTACCTGGACAGCCTTTTCATCCATCTGAGCATTTGCAACCACCTGGTCCCAACCCGGGTTTTGGACCATCCTCTGGAAGGGGAGGTCAGTATGGTCCTCAAGGTGTACCACCTCCTTCCCATACAGGGGCTCCCAGGATGCAAGGTGAACCTGTTGGAGGCCCTCCATTTAGTGGAATGGTGGCACCATGTGGCCCTGAAGGTCATAGGAGTTACCAGCGGCCTGCCTTTCAGATTGATCAAGGAGCAATTGGACAGCCATCTGGTATCCCCCCAAATATGTTGAGAATGAATGGAACTCCAGGCCTTGACTCCTCATCAGTTCATGGGTTGAGGGATGAAAGGTTCAAGGCTTTTCCGGACGAACAAATGAATCCCTTCCCAGTAGATCCAACTTATCGTGGAATTGACCGGGTAGCGTTTGAAGACGATCTCAAGCAATTCCCTAGGCCTTCGTATCTGGATTCTGATCCTGTTTCTAAATTTGGGAATTATTCATCAAGGCCCTTTGATAAGGGACCTCATGGGCTCAAGTATGATATGGGTCTGAATACAGATCCTGCTGCTGGAGATAGTGGGAGAATGGAGCCTTCTCACGGTCATCCAGATTTTGTTGGACGACGCCATGTGGATGTTTTGGCTCCCCGAAGCCCAGTTAGAGATTACCCTGCTATCCCATCTCATGGGTTTAGAGGCTATGGCCCTGATGATTTTGATAGAAGAGACTTTCATCGATTTGGTGATCCACATGGAAATTCATTCCACGAGGGTAGGCTTTCTAATTTTCCTGGTCATTTTCGACGGGGTGAGTTTGAGGGTCCTGGTAATATGCGAATTGTTGATGGGCACCCTGGTCATCTTCGGAGGGGAGATCATTTGGGTCCTCAGAATGTGCATAATCATTTGCATTTGCGAGAACCTATGGGTTTTGGTGATCGTCATCCACGGTTTGGAGACATGACTGGGCCTGGGAACTTTGAATCATTTCGAGGCAAGAGGACAAGCCGTCCACGTCTTGGTGAGCCTGGATTTAGGAGCAGCTTTTCACTTCAGAGATTTCCAACTGATGGAGCTTACACAGTTAAGTATTACTTCAAGTATCTGTGTGTGTTAAGTGATGCTCTTCTGTTCTCATATTACTACAGCTTCCATTCTGATATTCTATTGTATTTGATTTTTAGTTCAATTTTTGATGCTGTTGATATCTTCAGGGAGATCTAGAGTCTTTTGATCACTCAAGGAAAAGGAAACCAGCTAGTATGGGATGGTGCCGGATATGTAAAGTTGATTGTGAAACAGTTGAAGGTTTGGACTTGCATTCACAAACAAGGGAACACCAGAAGATGGCTATGGATATGGTGCGAACCATCAAGCAAAATGCCAAAAAGCAGAAACTGTAAGTTCTCTGAGCACATAGTTACTAATTGGCTATTGACCAAAATCATTATCATTATTTTCAAACTGTCTTAAAAAGTCTGATGCTTCCTTCTGTTCTTTTTTCTTCATTTTGTAGAACCTCTGGTGATCAGTCCGTGGTAGAGGATGAAAATAAGTCAAAAAATCCAGCTTTGAAGCCCGGGGAGAAAAGCATTGATGGATGATTGTGTGCTGCAATGTGGATCTCTTTGGTTGCATTTCACTTGGGGTCTAATTGTTTATTTGGTATTATTGCGTTAGCAATATAGGTGATGCACCCTTCCATGCCTCTTTTTCTAGATTCGGGGTGGTTTATGCTAGTTTTGTCATTTCAGGTTGCTGCCATGTTAATGGAGATGGTATTTGGAACTGGAGTTCAATGGCAGTTAAGTTTGTTGTTTTTGATTCTCAAGTTTTCTACTTTCACTAGGATTGTTTTTCGTTGGCATTGTCATTATCGGTTCAAAAGTGGTATATTGCTATCACTTCCTTTTGCATTTGGTACTATTGAGATGGCATTGGTTTATAGCATTTTCGAATGTATGCTTGACTCTTTTAATCTTATTTATTAAGTTTATTCAACTGCTTCCAGAAAATTATGGTGATCAGCAATGTATTAAGTTTAGTTTTACTGCTCTCAGATATGTATTTATGGTTATAAAATATATCATTGCTAAACATGGACATTTACTTTGAATGTTGAAGCTATAAGCATTTTCCTTTATGCTGTATGTAACTTTGTGAATTTTACATTATCGTCAATTTTGTCACTACGGTCGACAAGAATATCTGTTTTTAAATGTAGGGAGACTGCTGCTGTCTGACTTGCTTCATCATTTCTATTTTAGGCAGAGATAATTTTATGTAATCAACCTGATCCTTGGCCTTCAGTTGGTAGAGATTGGACTGACCACATTAAGCAGATTAGTTATAACTAACATTTCATCGGAATTTTACCCAATTAGTTGGAAGTGTTAAAGTAGTGTGTTCTAAAAGATGAGGATTTCTGCAAAACGAATGAACTTTGTGAGAAATAATTGTCAATCACTAGTACCACAGTAGGCTTCAAAACTAAATATTTGAGGTGTATAGGCTTATAGAAGGCAGTCACTGGAGTACATATTAATATAGATTACACAGAATTTTGCACACTGACTCTTAAGAAAAAGTGAGAGAGTTTAAGGAATTAGGTAGCTTAGAGACCATGAAATCATAAATCCTAGACTTTTCCTTTTTAGTAGCTTTTAGTAGCTAGCAGAGACGGCTTCATGATTTTGCTTGTTGGACTGCAGCATCTATTATATTGTTATCTGTTTTGATGGCTTGCAAATTGACATATACTTGAAGGGTATTTTGTTTTACTGATAAATTAAACAAATGAGACCAATATTAGGTGTACTGGCTGTATGGGTTGGAATGTTGTGAACCTAATTGAACAACTTAGTCTCCACAATTCAGCTGTATATTCTGCAGCTCGGTCGTCATCTGATTGGTCTTGTGCTAATTGGTGTAGCACAGAAGCGGAAGCTACTGTATGTTTGTTTATCCTGCAGGAAACAACATTAAAACAAGAGAGAACAATGAAATTCTTAAAAAGAAAGAGTCCAGTATCTAATTTTCTGGAATAACAGACCTGCATAAAAAGTCTCGTAATGACATATATACTAGGGTTACATCCTTAGCATCCTAGCCTTGATTACTTCAATAACTATTCAATTAGGCCTCCATAAGTTACTTACAAACACGCAAAACTATCATCTGACTATAAATATATAAAAAAATAAAACAACTAGGAGTAGAAGCAATACTATCATCTACAAAGCAACATAAGACATAAAGATTAAACAAGTCAAATAAAAGGTAATCTGAATACCTAAACCAAGGTGGCTAGCCTTTTAATCTTGGAAAGCCTTGTAGATCTTCTCTTGTTAGTTTTACATACGGGGAAAGGCTTGAACCATTTCATAAGTTTGGTTTTTATCTTTATTGCCATTTGTTTTACTACGGACTTGATGATTTTATTCTAACACTGTCATGTTATTTTTAGCTCCTAAGGTCGATTTGTTGTTGATTTTTCTTTTTGGTGGAATTTCTCTTTTTCTATTCTAGATCTTTTCAATTCGACCCGTCATTTTTTGGCAAGAAGACTCCATATGGACTGAAAGTTTAGCGGAAAAAGGTTTACTCTGTCATCTGTTTTTGATGTGGTAAGGTTGTGTTCAATGTACAGATTTTATTTAGTTGTGGCAAAATTAGCTTCTTAGTGTTGATTATATGACCTGCTTACATGTCGGGATTCATCTGCTTCTACATTTTTACGAAGAGTATATTTACATCTTTTGAAGCGCTAGGATAAATCTTAGGAAACCTTAGGAGACATGTAGTCTTGATTACCTTCCATCCACTAGGTATATATTAGATACGAACCTTAAGGGGCCATGGGGCTTACATTTTAAGATGTCTACTTGGATTTTTATGGTTAGGGATCATGATTTATCTAGGACAGTTTGATGGCTAGTTTTATTTATTTATTTATTTATTTTTTATATTATCACCGCCCATGGTGGTTGCGGTTGTGGCCATCGCCCTTGCCGCCCTCAACATGGGTGGGCAGCACCCCAAGCACACCACATCCTTAATGCTTTGTCATATGCGTTCTGTAACAACAAATTCAATTTTGTTTGTATGCTGACTTTTGAATGAATTTTGCAATTACTCACTCTGCTTCAAGTATAGCAATCACTTCCTATCAAATTTCCATGTGCATAGATTCGGGTTCATGTTGATGTTTTGAGGCAGCCTTGCCGGTTGAACTCTATTTTTTTTTTTTTTTTTTATAAATATTTTGGTAGCAATATTTTTATCTATTTCAACAGCTGGTAAGTCGCTCTCTCTCTCTCTCTCTCTCTCTCTCTCTCTCTCACTCACACACACGCACACAAAACACATCCTTTCACCATCACCTACTACTGTAATTTTCTTTAGAAAAGTTCGGGTGGTCGAGGAAGGGAAAAAACCGGTTTTCTTGTTTTCCATCAGAGTTTTGGTCGTGAGAAATGCTAAGGGAACTCTCAAAAGTAGATCTCTCTATGGACTCTCTGCCATCTCATATTTTTAGCATAATGTTTAATAATATTGGCATGGAAATTGACGTTAAACACTGAGGTGTTAGAGAGTCCATCTTTGAGAGAGTTCCCTTATTATTTCTCTTTGGTGGTTTAGGAAGGGAAGAAGTGGCGTTCTTTCGATTGTGAATGCAGTACACCAAATCTTAGTTTTGTTCAACAGTATTACCATAATTTCTATGGATAACTCTGGACATGATTCATGCCATGAAAATTCTTTATAAAATTGCATCTAGTGATATCTGGCGTGTGCTAAAGCATCCCTTGAGCAACTTAAATATTAATGCACAACCTGAGAAGTTTTCGTCGCTTAGGAAATTTATCCTTGTTTTTAAACTCTCCTTGCTATAGATGTTTTAGCCTTTTACATGAACCAAGTTCTGAAATATTTGAATTTGATTGTTTTAGTGTGTTTTGAATATAATCGCGTTTGAACTAATACTAGTCTCGGAAATACGCGTATTTGTTCAAAAATCCATAATGTAGGCTGACGAAGGAACAAGAATAACGCAGGGTTCCAGTTCGAAGAAAAAAGAATACAACATAGTAAGGCGAACGCTTGGATGTTTTTTCGGAGAAAATTGCTAACGAAGTAAAGTGTTTGATAAAGATTGCAGTGTGGTGCAGGGACTGATAGCATGATTGCACAGTGAGACAATGTAGGATGGTTGCTTTGCTTATTGTTTCTCCTAGTGCTACCTTATTCTCAAAGCGTGTCTGTGGGTCTCGCGAAGCTGTAGATCGGAAGGTTATTCGGCGATGGAGGCTCCTTACCTTGCCAACTTAATGCCTTTCGAGGCCTTTGTTTAACTGCGTTATGTTTTGCAATTTTGGGTATGCATGGTTGTAAACGAATGATTGGGTAGGCTAATATTTACGAGAGACGTTTAGTGAATATCACTTCTATTTACTTCTTTTCGTTGTCCTTTTAAGACCGGCTGAAGATTAATAATATTTTATATATGTTTTCTTGTTAAAGAAAAAAAAGAACTGACGAAATAAAAGACGTTATGTTCCGATTTACTTCTATACATAACGAGAGAAAATATTTAAAGTGTGTATTATTATGGGTGGGCACAGTTTGGTCCAATCTGTTTGCTTTGCGTATGCTGTTGTGGCCTTTTGGTTAAATAATATAATGTTATAATTTATATGTAAGTTTCTCTTCACGCGATATTGTATTATTGGACCAGAACATCATGTAACGCTGAATCCTTATACATCATGTAACGCTGAATCCTTATAAGTTTTTCTCGCTATCCAGATATATTTCAGATGTAAAAGTAAAGCTTCTTCATAGTAATCAAACTCAAAACATTTTGACATATGTGAAAGACTTTAAAACATAAAATATCTTACTTACAAATAAAAAAGAATATCATTAGATCGTAATGTTAAATTTATAAGTTGATATTTCTTAGTTGCTTAAAATATCTTTACCAAGCCAAAAATGGTTTTTATCAGTGGTTTAAAAATTGGGGTCAGGATTCGACCGCAAGCAATGCCAGATCACGAATAACCTTTTTACCCCACGGAGCTCGAGGCTGTACAGCCTCACATCACGTGACATCGAACCGGCACCAGATCGGAGAGGGGCAATTCCGTCATTTTCAAATTTCAGGGATCCTGGAATCGTAAATAAACCAGTGGGCCACACCGTATCCAGCTGTATCCCTAATTCTAAAATTCAAAATCTTCGTTTAGGCTCTAAAAATTTAAAACCGTTTCTGCACCCATCAAATTAGGTGGCGCAAATCCAGCCGTTGATTCTCCCTATCCCAGTTGATTTAAACAGCCAATGAAAAATCCGAAAATTAAATAATTAAATAAATTAGTAAAGAGCCGTTGTAGGGTTACAGCTCACTCCCTCTATATATCCGCCCTCTCACTCCCTCGCTGCCCCTCATCCTCGCCGTTCCCCCTCTTTCTCTCTCCAAAACTTCATCTTTCTCTCTCGTTCTTTCTCCCCCTAGATCTCAGCGACTCAACCCTAGAACCGAAAATGCGTGAGATCCTTCACATCCAGGGAGGCCAATGCGGCAACCAGATCGGGGCCAAGTTCTGGGAGGTGGTGTGCGCCGAGCACGGCATCGACTCCACCGGACGCTACCACGGTGACTCCGAGCTCCAGCTTGAGAGGGTTAATGTCTACTACAATGAGGCCAGCGGTGGCCGCTATGTTCCTCGCGCCGTGCTCATGGATCTGGAGCCTGGTACCATGGACAGCATCAGATCTGGGCCTTACGGCCAGATCTTCCGCCCTGACAACTTTGTTTTCGGTCAATCGGGTGCTGGGAACAACTGGGCCAAGGGTCATTACACTGAGGGTGCAGAGTTGATCGATTCCGTTCTCGATGTGGTTCGCAAGGAGGCGGAGAATTGCGACTGCTTGCAAGGTATGTGTGAACTCGGACGAAATCCTAATTGTAATTTGTGAGATTTTGAGATTGGGTATTT